AACAATAACAACAATAGTAATAACTGGGTGTCTCTTGGCATATTTTTTTTCAATATTCAACAGAATACAGTCTCAATGGTAAATTGATAATGTCCCAGCCAGGCACACAGATAAAAAATTCACACAATTAATACAATAACACTTTTTTTACACTTTGGACACTGACCATTGGTTGGTGTTTTGAAAAGTTTCACACCTACTGTATTTGTTTGCAGATTTGTTGAGAAGATCATCATTCTGTATATCCAAAATGTTATAAAAGGATAAAAACTTGCCCCTTCAGCAACCAGTCATAATTATTATGCAGTTTTGATAAGTTTTACAATAGATTATTTAAACTTTCATTTTTATTACAAGCCATAAAGCTAATAAATACTAAAATAAAATTTACATAATTTATATACTGCAAATTCATCTTTATTTTCATTCTGTACAACATTCTTTCCTGTCCTGCTTAAAAACAAGTCTGAGATGGTGAGAAATGCATTAAAACATTATAAATATGTTAATATATATGAGCCGAGTCACGACAAAACCAACATTGTGTGTTTGTGTCCAGCATGGATCCAGATCAGCCTGCGCATCCACGCAGTCTGATCAGGATCCATGCTGTTCACTTACCAACTCTATTACAAGTAGAGAAACTGATAGCATTTGTAACTCCCTGGCCTAGATTATCTTAGTGAATTTCAGTGACAGAATGCATTAAAAATAGCACAAATTTCTAAAATTAGCAAAGTTTTCAATTTGCAAAAATTAGCAAATAAAATATATCCCAAATATTTCACAATCTACAGTACAGTTACCAATTATTATACCTGTAGACATTGGGGAATAAATTACATATAAGAAAGAGTTTCTTTGTTCTTTGCCTGCTTCATTTCTTATTAGTTATAACATATGGTAATTTAGAATATTTGGATAGGCTAAATATGTACAGAATGGATTTTTTGCTCTCTTATGCAATCATGGCTGTAAGCTGTTTATTGAAACATCACATGCTTGATTGCAACTGAAATATGCTTAAAGAATATCCATAAAATCCATTTAATAGCTGGGATCATATAACATCTTTTACTATGTCAATGATTTTTTTTTTACATTTGATATGTGTAATTATTATATGAACATATTTTACCTTGTTAGGTCAAAATGAAATAAATTATAAATATGAGCTTCACCACCAAACAGGATAGAAAGTTAGAACTGGAATACTGTATATCTACAGATAATCATAGTGATTGTTTTGTTATCTCATTTTTTAATTTGACAGTATTTCTTTAAGATGGGTAAAGTATATAATTATAATTACATAAAAAAACAAGAGTTGTCACAGGAGACAGCGAAGCTCAACTAATAAAATACTGGACATAGTAAGGAAGACAAAACTATGAAAGGAAAATAGATTATGTATAATTATGTATTAAGTTATAGTAAAAAATAACATTTGTTAACATAAAGTCCATTAAGTTATAGTAAAAAAATAACATTTGTAAACATAAATTCCAAGTTCAAGGGGGAATAATTCTGGAAATAGTCACACTAGAGTTATGAACATTGTCACAGAACATGTGTGTATGGTAATGATAAAAAATATATTTGAAGTTTCAAGTAGACTAGATACCTTAAAAAGTAAAGAAGTTATAATATTTCTGAAAGAAAATCCTAAGTTCAAAGAGAGATAAATCTGAAAATATTGCTTCAAGAGTTATGAACCTTGTCACATAAGATGTAATTGATGAAAAGGAATAAATATTTGAAGTTTGAGGTAGATACCTTTAAAACTAAAGAAGCTATAGTAAAAAAAAATTTCAAGTAAAAACATCTAAGTTTATGGGGAGATAATTCTTTCAATACTGGTGCTAGAGTTATGAACCTTGTCACATAAGATGTGGTTAATGATAAGGAACATAAATTTGAAGTATGAAGTTGATCCCTTAAGAAATCAAGAAGTAACAGTAACAAGAGCTGTCACAGGAGACAGCCAAGCTCGACTAATAAAATACTGGACGCAGTAAGGAGGACAAAACTATGAAAGAAAAATCAATTATGTATAATAATGTATTAAGTTGTAGTAAAAAAATAACATTTGTTAAAATAAATTCCAAAATCAAGGGAAATAATTCTAGAAATAGTCACGCTATAGTTATGAACCTTGTCACACAACATGTATGTAATGATAAGAAGTATATATTTGAAGTTTGAAGTAGATACCTTAAAAAGTAACAAAGTTATAATATTTCTTAAAGAAAATCCTAAGTTCAAAGAGAGATAAATCTGTAAAAATTACTTCAAGAGTTATAAACATTGTCTCATAAAATATAATTGATTATAAGGAATAAGTATTTGAAGTTTGAGGTAGATACCTTTAAAACTAAAAAAGTTATAGTAAAAAATAACATTTCTCTAGTAAAAAAATCTAAGTTGATGGGGAGATAATTCTTGCAATATTGGTGCTAGAGTTTTGAACCTTGTCACATAAGATGTGGATGATGATAAGGTACATTTATTTGAAGTATGAAGTTGATCCCTTTAGAAATAAATAAGTTACAGTAAAAAAAAATATTTTTTTAAGAAAATTCTAAGTTCAAGGGGAGATAAATCTGAAAATATTGGTGCTAAAGTTATGAACCTTGTCACATAAGATGGGATGATGATAAGGTACATATATTTGAAGTATGAGGTTGATCCCTTATGAAATAAAAAAGTAACAGTAAAAAATAGTATTTTTTAAGGAAAATTCTAAGTTCAAGGGGAGATAAATCTGAAAATATTCGTGCTAGAGTTATGAACATTGTCACATAAGATGGGGATGATGATAAGGAACATATATTTTAAGTATGAGGTTGATCCCTTAAGAAATAAAGAAGTAACAGTAAAAAATAGTATATTTTAAGGAAAATTCTAAGTTCAAGGGGAGATAAATCTGAAAATATTGGTGCTAGAGTTATGAACATTGTCACATAAGATGGGGATGATGATAAGGAACATATATTTGAAGTTTGAAGTTGATACCTTAAGAAATGACAAAGTTATAGTGAAAAATATTTTACTGCACCAAAACTTTAATCTGAAATCTGGACGCGGACGCTGACGCCGGGGCGAGTAGGACAGCTCTCCATATACTTCGTATAGTCGAGCTAAAAAATAGTATTTTTAAGGAACATTCTAATTTCAAAAGGAGATTTATAAATCAGAAAATATTGGTGCTTGAGTTATGAACCTTGTCACATAAGATCTGGTTGATGAGAAGGAAAATATATTTTTGAAGTATGAAATTGATCCCTTAAGAAATAAAGAAGTAACAGTAAAAAAATATTTTTTTTAAGGAAAATTCTAGGTTCAAGGGGAGATAAATCTATAAATAATGGTGCTAGAGTTATGACTCTTGTCACATAAGATGTGGTTGATGATGAGGAACATATATTTGAAGTATGAAATTGATCCCTTAAGAAATAAAGAAGTAACAGTAAAAAAATAGTTTTTTTTAAGGAAAATTCTAAGTTCAAGGGGAGATAAATCTATAAATAATGGTGCTAGAGTTATGACCCTTGTCACATAAGATGTGGTTGATGATGAGGAACATAATTATATTTGAAGTATGAAATTGATCCCTTAAGAAATAAAGAAGTAACAGTAAAAAAATAGTAATCATGTATCCATCGGAGGGCCAGAAGCCTTAATGTTTACAATTGTTATGTTTATACAACATATACTGTAGGTGATAGTGATTTAAAATGAAAACTCTGTTAACCTACTCAAGTTTCTGCTAAAATGACACTGTCAAGTCAAGTCCATGCATTTCCTTGATTAAATATATGTACCATTGACTGATGTAATTAAAAATCAAACCTTTATATACCAAACAAAACAGTTACTACTTATGTACAGAAACTACTTGAATGCAAGCAAGCCAAGCATGTCAAATATTTTGGACTATGGTCCCTATTAAACTTTGGAACAAATAAAAGACCATGTGACGTATTGTTACCTAAACCTTTTTTACTTAAACTTCACCCACTAAAACTTCACCCAATTTCACGCTGATGGTTACATGTGGCTGTTAGATAAAAAGTCTCATGATTTTGTGAATTCAAAGTGTATGTCATTTTGGTGTTTGATATGACTGACATCTGATAAATTGATCTATCGTTGGGTGCCCTAAACATGTCCCTGTCTGAGAGCCAACACCCAGTTAACTGTGTATCTAATCTATATATCTATCTTTCGTTAATATCAAACCCCTCAGGAGTCCAGCGTAGACATGACTATAGACTAGTCACTTTAGAGAAAGATATGAGATACAAGGGAATCCGGAACCAGTCCCTAGCTCTTATTGAATAGACCCCTTGGTTTTTTTACATGCCCAGTGTATAGCACTGATAAATGCGAGGAATACCTGAATTTCTTAGCAGTACACCTCTAGTTCCGTGGGAAATCTGAAAAATCCCAATGGTATTACCCAGAATCGAACCTGGGACCTCAGAAGTAGCCAGTGATCTAACCAACTGAGCTAACACGCCACTTATGTGTATGTCAGAAAGTCTCAACAAATGTTCCTTAAGTAAGAAAACAGTTGGCTATTTTTAATATTAAGTAAATTAATTTATATCTGCTAAATTTCTTCAACAAAGAGCGCTTGTATCTTATGAAAACTAACACTGTAAAATGCTTAGGGTAATGAATCATGGCCCATACTCTTGGATAATAAAAAAAAATAGAAATCTAAAATATAAATAAAATGAAAACCAAAGTTCTGAAACCGGTTGTCAGTCTTATCATACTTATGACAGCACATATTGTACTGTGCATCAATATAAAAAAAATATAGGTAAAATATAGGTAAAATTTAGTTCATGCTCACTTACTGTCTTCTTCATTGTACATTGTTATGATTCTTGTTGCGTTATTTGTAATATCAAACATTTCTAAGAATTCTGGTTTAACGCCGCGAAAATTTCTTTACAGTTACCTCCCCTGGTAGACTGTACCTATACTTTTGCCTATGTAATCAATGTCAGTTTTATGTACGCAGTCTGTAGTCGTAGAAACATTAAACAATATGGCGGCCTACGGTAATTTCTTGTTTATTTCAATGTATTTTACTAAACTCGAGTATTTGATGCTGTTTTGCTGATGGCAATGGTTGTTTATATTTCAGTCATTTTCAAAATCAACTGAGAAAGGTGTTTTTAAACATTTTAACTTGCACAAATTGAGATTCTATTCGCCAGAAGTTCTCAAATACACCATGTATCAAACCATATACCAAGTCTTAAATTTTGTCATTCTCATATAGATCATCATTCAGTAATACGGTTGGTAGCTTCCAGAAATTTAAAGACCATATTTAAAGGGCTCATTAAAAGTATCCTTAAAAATATCAGAAACTCCATCTAGGCTTACTAGACATATGCATCCCCTCTCTCTTAGGAAAATACAGGTTACATCAGACTATCATAAGTTCTCGTTCTTCCCCCACTGTATCACACTCGGTACAAGTCAACCCGGCCCTAAGTCAACCCGGCCCCAAGTCAGCCCGGCCCCAAATTGGTCAACCCGGCCCCAAACCACTGAAACCAGTGTTATTTCTGGTCAACCCGGCCCCATATTTTTTATTATTTATTTTGCTTTAAAATGTAAACACTTTTCAAGAAATTGAATTAAAATTAAAAACAACGACAAAAGTTTAACGATGATATCTTTTATTATTCATTTTATATAAAAACTTTCAATATTAACAAACAAGCAACACATGCATAATTTACTGTTTTTACAATGTCCAATGCATAGTTCTACAATCTTCAATGTATAGTTCTACAATGTTCGTCACACACCCCTACAATGTTCATCACATACAAACACCAATTCACTTGTCGTCTTCTTCTGCCTCTCTTCTACCTAGTATGGGTCTATACATGGTAGACACAATCGTTTAGACAGAATAATGCTGGAAAAATTACTTAAATCAGAAAGAGTAATTTCATTTCTACTTGATAATATTCTCGCAAAACAATGGATGGTATCCGAAATATTAACACAATCAATACAGATATCAGTCATAATGACATAAAGTGATTAAACACAAAACACTATCAATTTTTCAAACACTTAGTAAAATTTGTAATACTTTTTTACACAGTAAATATTCTTTGAAAATAAGTTAATAAAAAACGAAACAAATATTAAATTAATTATACTGATGAACGTATGCAATAAAAACATTCAAATGAACTGAAAAAAAGATTGTTGGAAACATAATTAATACAAACATTTTAACTCGAAATTCTATGCATTTCTTCCTAATTATCGCATTAACACTCACGAAAACATCTTTAATTTACATCGAAGATACTACCAACTTATTTAAAGGATTTGTTTTCACAGCTATACCTTTTTTGTTAATTGATTGCTTTAAACTGTTTGATTATCACATCTGAATTAATGTTGATGTACATAAAATTGTTGATGTTATATAATTATATTCATTATCACTATTGCGTATTAAAGTCTTAATCGGTGCAATTAAATTTACCGACACTTTTATGCCAGTTCATGTTTTTTTTTACTATTGTTCTATAGTTAATAATCTTCAATCAATAATAAATCATTTTTAGCTCGACTATTCGATAAGAATAAGTAGAGCTATTGCAGTCACCCGAGCGTCGGCGTCGGCGTCGGCGTAACCACTTATGTTAAAGTTTTTGTAATAGTTCAAATATTTTCAAAGTCCATTGACATATGGCTTTGAAACTTTGCACACTTGTTCACCATCATGACCTCAACCTGTAAACAGGAGGAGGTAACTCTATCAAGCATTTTGACAGAATTATGCCCCTTTTTCGACTTAGAATTTACGTTAAAGTTTTTGTAATAGTTCAAATATTTTCAAAGTCCATTGACATATGGCTTTGAAACTTTGCACACTTGTTCAACATCATGACCCCAACCTGTAAACAGGAGGAGGTAACTCTATCAAGCATTTTGACAGAATTATGCCCCTTTTTCGACTTAGAATTTACGTTAAAGTTTTTGTAATAGTTCAAATATTTTCAAAGTCCATTGACATATGGCTTTGAAACTTTGTACACTTGTTCACCATCATGACCCCAACCTGGAAACAGGTGGAGGTAACTCTATCAAGCATTTTGACAGAATTATGCCCCTTTTTTGACTTAGAATTTACGTTAAAGTTTTTGTAATAGTTCAAATATTTTCAAAGTCCATTGACATATGGCTTTGAAACTTTGCACACTTGTTCACCATCATGACCCCAACCTGTAAACAGGAGGAGGTAACTCTATCAAGCATTTTGACAGAACTATGCCCCTTTTTCGACTTAGAATTTACGTTAAAGTTTTTGTAATAGTTCAAATATTTTCAAAGTCCATTGACATATGGCTTTGAAACTTTGCACACTTGTTCACCATCATGACCTCAACCTGTAAACAGGAGGAGGTAACTCTATCAAGCATTTTTTTACTATCAAGCACTAAGAATAGTCGAGCGTTGCTGTCCTACCGACAGCTCTTGTTATTCCATCTTACAACAAAATGACTTAAATAGTGTTCTTTGATAAATATATATTTTGGGGCCGGAATGACCGATTTTGGGGCCGCACTGACCAATAATGGGGCAGCATTGACCAAATAAAAATACTGTGGGGCCGGACTGACCAATTTTGAGGCCGGGTTGACTTGGGGCCGGGTTAACTTGGGGCCGGGTTGACTGTAATTCATCACACTTTGGAACCAGCTCCCAAGGAACATCGTCACCCTGCCTGATCTAGATCAATACAAACAGGCTGTGGTTAAGATACAGTATTACTTGACTTGTTGTGTTTTTACTTTTAAATCTTTCTTTCACCCTTACTAATAAAAATATTTTAACAATGACTAAAAGTTTTCAATGTCTCTCTGTCCTGATCATGTTCATTTTCAGGTTTTTACTTTCTTTCACACCTTTCACTAACACACCCGACGCGCACTATTTCCTGCCTATATTACACTCATGAGAGGGGTTACCGTTGGCAGTACTCAGAGATAGATTGATAGAAATTATCTTAACCACTGTTCAAGATTCAGAAATTCAAAATTGTTAAAGGTAGCTAAGTGCCCTCTTATCATTTGACATTTCGTTATTGTCATGTTTTAGCAGAATATTGATCTTTAATGTAGATAATTAACAATTCAGGGTGATATAACTTAAAGTATATGTTGACTTTTTTTCAGATTAAATACCACAACTCCTGTTCTGGAACAATAAAATCATTCAAGATGACGACTGCAGAGAGATTAAAGACCCCGCTGCTCTTTCCCTGTGCAGCCAGGGTAAAGGTGCCGCAGCTCGGGTCAGAAGATTCTGATCTCAAACCTGGTCAGAAAAGTAGCCGCTACGCTCCAGAGACAATAGTTTTCAGAAATCCATCTGAGCCATCAGATCCTATCAGTAAAGATTATTTAAAAAAGGTTTCTTTTGATTTAGTCTTTGAAGAAGAAGTTGTGAAAGAGAGATGCTTTCATGCTTTACCATATGATGAGAAATATTTGTCTGAAGCTTTTGATATTGGAGATATTGTTTCTCTTCCTCAAAGAGCTAAGATTCCGGTTGGTAGGCATAATTCACGTGGGGTAGATGTGAGACATATGCCATGCAATCTAACAAAGTCAACAAAGCCTCATCTTAAACCATTAAGAAGAAAGATTACAGAGAGAGCTCAACAAATGCATTTTGAAGCTCTGAAACGTGAGGAATTAAGGGAAATCCAAAAAAGAATACAAGAAAAGCAAATCATGCTTGAAAGAGTAGAAGAACAGATTGAAGAAAGGGAAGAAGGTGATGACACAGAAAGAGAAGGTGTGTTCTTAACAGAAACTAAACCTGAGAAAAAATCAGCCACTGTTAAAACAGAAACTGCATTGACAACTGCAGTCAGTGAGAAAGAGCCAATAGTCGAAATGAAATCTACAAGAAAAGCTAGCACTCTTCAGGAAGATGTAACTGAAGAAACTGAAAAGCGCGGGAATGATTGGGATGCATATCTTATGTCTATTATTAGTTCTAACACAGCCAATTGGATTGTTTATGAGAAAACTCCAGCAGGTGCACAGGATAGGTAATATTTCAATGAAATACCTAAGGTTTTTTTTGATAAGGAAGAAATGAACTCTGTCAGTGCTGAACTCAAGAGTAAATCCAAAATTTAATTCAAATCCTTTTTATTTTATAGTAAACATAAAAACGTTTCATATAAACCTTGAACTCTTTTTAACATTATTACAAAAACTTAACACGGAACATAATTACAATGATTTTTGGATTTAGAAAAAACTGTGTTTAGCCCTCCTTCTCCCACAGACGTTTAATAGGAATTTTACAGTACACATAAGTTTCAAAGAAAGCATGCGGCACAACAAAGCTTCATTGAAGTGATATTTTTTAGAATTATCAAAATTAATTAAATTCAATTTTATTTTATATATTTTTAACTATAGAATTAGTAACTCATGAAAATACTAGTTTTAGTTTGTATATTTTTAAAAAAAAGTTATAAAATACCTATGATATAGGCTATTATAGCTGTATAAATGTAGACAACTTTTAGATAACATTATGTCCACTAATAGTTTATTCTTGGATGAACTTGTGAATATGTTCCTGGAGTGGTATTATGGTTTTCCCTTTTGTAATGATATGCTAGGAAAAGGTTTGAACTTGGTCAATATATTACTTTGTGCAATATCTTTGCCTTCAAAAATTACTTATTATATATCATTGCACATTTCAGGGAAAAGTTGGAAAACCTGTTAAAGAAATGGTATGGCACACCTGAGCACACTGATCTTGTCAGGGAAGATATGAGTGATAATGAAGCTGAATCAGAAGAAGAAGTAAAGACGCCAAAGAAAAAATGGACCAAAAAAGAAGCCACGTAAATATCTTAATTCTAAAAATTTTGAAACATTTTTAATTTGCAAAAATAAAAGAACATTTTTAGAAGTAAAGCTAACAAAGAAAAATTGGGCCAAAAAGAAAGCCAAATGAATAGTTTGATTTTGACCAAGTTTAGAGAGTGGAATTTTTGTTTGCAAAAATAATTAAACATTTTAAACATATAATTTTAAGATCTGATATACATTTGTAGCAGTTTCCACTTATTAGTTTTTTTAAGTTGGGAGTGGAACCTAAGGTTGCCAGATTATTGTTTGTTGTTTTTTTCTTTGGTATATTCCATTGTTTTGTGGGGTTTATTTGGTTTCATTATAAAGCCTTCATTTAATAATTTATAGCTTAGATATTATGATATACAGGTCCCTAGCATGGATCTTTGTAACCTTTTATTGTAGTTTGAGGTGTATGTGAGTAAGATTAAGGTTATATGTGCAAAAATTATATTTGTTCTAATTTTCCTAATATAGGTCGGTTTTTAGCTCAGTGTAAAAGCATTGTTAGAGCAGTGTCTCCCATAAATAATTTATTTTTTAATGTTACTCAGATTGCTGCAAAAAGTGTACAACCTTGAGGAAGATGAGCCCCATTCTTTAGATCCATATTCAGATGACAATAAGGCCCCATTTTACAGGCAACCTGCTGGGCTTAGACGAGCCCGCAAACATGAAGTAAAAGAGGAATTAGGTAATGCTGTAAAGTCTTTTTTTTTCCCAAAATATTTTTATCCTTCTTGTGTAATCATTACAAAATTTTTCCAAATCTTTCATTTCTTTTATTCATATGTAGTTCTTTTGATTAATTGGCACAAATATTTCTCTCATTTAGAAAATGCATCAATTTGAAATCTTTTACAATTAGCACACACTCTTTGTTTTTGTTTGTAGGGCTTGAATTTAAAATTCTGGCAAACTATCATATATTATGCCAGTAGAAAGTGAAAATTGCTCTGTAGTCTTTTGGTTAACTTGCAAATTGTTGCACGATAGACATAATTATGATTTGATCTATCAATAGATATTTGAATAAGTTTTACATACATTTTGTATTACTAGTTTGAAGTAATACTTGTTTTTTGTTTTTGTTTCCTTTACTACTCTAGACATATCTTGGATACTTTTTTTAGAACAAAGTAAAAGGAATGCATTTAAGTTTATTTACATTATTGTCTCTTTCAGTGTCTAAGATGAAGGGTTAGTTTTATTGTTGATTTTATTATCAGGTTAATTAATGCAATAAATCTTGCATAATAAGAGTGAAAGCTAACATTATTATGGGTTAAACATCAGCAAGGTGTATGTTTGAATAACTGTACTTGAAAAACTGTGCTTAATTTATTATGCTTTTGACTTGTTTAGAAATGTTTGCTTAAAGATAATGCATGTATCGAGTGTGATGTATTTAGTGTTTTGCATGTCAGCTTTTATTATGAATTTATTACAATTAACCTTATCCTGATAAATTTGTAAAATGGACTTGCCCTTCTTTGAATTCGGAACATTCCATTGTCAGTTTTAGGGAGTTTAACCCTTTCCATGCTAAATATTTTTAATGAACTCGTCCATCTTTCAATCCGGACATAACCTTTCATCATTTTAAGGAGAAATTTCAAAATATATACACTGGCTGGAAAGCAAACAGTGCAGACTGTGATTTGATGGACATGCTGGCTGATTTTGGTCTGCAGGGATAGTTTCAGTCGCTGTCTAATATAGAAATATTAAACTGGACGTCTAAGTCAGACTGCACAGTTTCAAGTTTATACTGGTGGGGTAGGTCTGTTGTTTAAATCCCCTAGTGGTTATAAGGATACAGACAAAACTTCATCTATGCTGATTTTTATTTTTTTAAACAAAATACATGTATATAGAATGGAATGCATGTCTTTCTAGCTTTTATATAATGCTTTGGAAGTTGTACTTCAAAGTTACTTATATCAGAATATAATAAGACAACATTTTTAGTACCATAAATAGACTGCATGTACGGAAAGACTGACTTTAGTCAGAACCTTGAGGGGATTTTTTTATTTATTTATTTATTTTTATTTTTTTGGTTATTCTTAAAACACAAACTTGTCAGTGGTCAGTATCTATATGAAATGCATTTATCTGACCCATTAGTATTATTTTCAGACATTTCAGTATTTAATCAGCAAACATGAAAATTTAAACTTAAGGTTTGACCAGACATTTAACATGATACAAAAGTAACAGAATGTTAAATAGATAGCAGTAAAGGAAAAAAATAGACAGTTTTTCATCCTCCTGTAAAATTTTAGAAAATGGAGTTAGATGAGTTTTGCACTGAGCGTAGTTTGTCCAGACTGCAGGTATGACTACATGCAAAATCACCTAACTCTACTCTGTTCAGTCTGTTGATATAGAGGTTTATTATTGTTATAAGTCAAACAGCTAAACAAGTTTAGTTATACACCTATTGTTAAGCAATAATTTAAGCCAATGCTGCTTTATTAACCACTAACTACTTAAATTAAGACTGAGTAAATTAGAGATATGTTTTTCATTTTTAATTGTTAATTTTGTTATTTTTTATGGGTTTTTTTTGTGTGTTTTGTTTGATTTTCAACATTATGCACTAGTCATTTGTAACCCTGGATCTCCCATTCCAGGGAAAATAATTTTGACTTTGACTTTTGTATTTTTGCAAATCCATAGTCAAGCCTAACAAAGACTGTCTCTGCGAAATGCACACATTGTGTGTTAGAAATATTTCCAGTTAATTTGGTGCTAAAACAAAACCATCTCATTAACACAGCAGTGTCACTAAGGACAATTTGAAGGTAAAAACTGTGCTCATACCACCACACTCAAGTAACTCCCCACTATACCCAGCGGATGGGGTTACATTTGACTGATACATTACAATATTTGAAAAACAACTGTTCCTTAAGAGGTCTTTTGTTATAATCATTTATAAAATTAATGTTTGACAAGCATAATGTTGTGAAATGATTAGAAAATCAAGGTGTCATGGATGCTTTTATTATTTGGATATACAGATACATGTATTTAACTTGAATCTCTTGAACCAATCTCTTTTATTTGCAAGGTTGAATTTTCATAAAACTTTGCTTTAAAAAGAATAGATACGGTAATATTTTGCACAGTTTTAACATGCTGCATGACCAGTTACTGAAATGACAAAGCCAAACATTTTGTTGGTTACTCTAAGAATATAGAAAATGTAAACCTCTATATAATGAAAATAAATTGCCAAGGAAAATAGTCAATCATAGTCTTTAAATGAAGTCTTTTGTTCAAGTATTATATGTATTTATAAATGAATTCTGATGAAATATTTAACAGGAGCTATTAACACCACTGCTGCCAATATTGAAGTGAGAACTTTCAAGCCGTCACCTCCACCCACACTTCGAGACTTTATGAACCCAGAGGCTGGTAGCTACATTCTAGAAACAGACAATATGTTTCAACAAGAACAACTAACAGGTATGTACAAAATTCATCCATAGGTCTGTTCATCAGCTAGGATTATAGGTCTGTTATTATATAGGTAGATATATTTGTCAGTTGCTGTCTCAGCTAGGATATTATCTCAGCTTGGATATGTTTGTTATTATTGTAGCTAGGGGTGTGTCTGTTATCGGACGTGTCTGTTGTTATCTAAGCTAGGTGTGTCTGTTATTATCTCAGCTCGAAAGTGTCTGTTGTTATCTAAGCTATGTGTGTCTGTTATTATCTCAGCTCGAAAGTGTCTGTTATTATCTAAGCTAGGACAAATCTCATTATCTTGACTAGGATATATCTGTTATTATCTCAGCTAGCTATATCAGTCTGTTATTAAACTGGTTCAGAAAGGTTTGTTATAATCTCAGCTAGGACAGGTTTGTTATTATAGTAGCTTAAGGATTGGTCTTATTATCTAGACATTGATAGGTCTGTTTTTTAGAGGCTATGAAAGGTCTATGAATTATTAGATAGGTTTGTTATTGTCTCACAAAGATTAGGTCTATTCTTATCTCAGCTAAGATCTTACTGGTAAGAACTGTTTGATATTATTTTATTTTAGTAAACTATTTATTTAATAATAACCTATTCCTATCTTGCATGTTCTCAGCATTACTATTAGTGTCAGTGTTCTATCAACCTTTGACCGGTGGCTTATTTTAAATTACAAAACTAGACCATTTTAAAACAAGAGTAGTAATTTAGCATTCCTGATGGGCTTTGTTTTACCCTACACAAAGTATGTAGTATCTGTGTGCGGGAAAAGCCCCTTCCATCTTGGATTTCGCAGACAACTCAATTAGTTCCGGCCATCACCCATTAAATTTTTCTAGCAAATGCTGCAAAAAAATTTTAGGGGACATTTAATGCGCACAGAAACCTCTTCAAATACTAGACTAATTGAGCTGCGTCACGACAAAACCAACATAGTGCGTTTGCGACCAGCATGGATCCAGACCAGCCTGCGTCTCCGCGGAGTCTGATCAGGATCCATGCTGTTCGCTTACAAACCCTATAACAAGTAGAGAAACTGATAGTGAACAGCATGGATCCTGATCAGCAGACTGCGCGGATCCATGCTGGTCGCAAACCCATTATGTTGGTTTTGTCGTGACGCGGCTCAATTGTTTATTACTTGAGCATTGTCTATTTGTTTATTTTTGCGTATGTCACAGGAACAGAGCAGGTGTTTGATGCATTCGGTGATAAAAGTAAAATATTAATGGAGACACAGAATAAATACAAGAAGGAACTACAGCCTGGTTTCCCACAACCACCAGAGCAATGGTTCCCGCTTACAGAGGCAGAAAGACAAGAACAGTTGAAAAACAAGAAAAAACAGAGAAAACATCATCGTGGGCACAGACGATGGAAGAAACTGCCAGAGCCCATAGATGTAAGTTGATACACTTGATTTCTGTTGTTCAAATTTTAGGATGGTCACCTAAGATTCTTTCGAATTTAAATTTTTTCAGCAAATTGTAAAGATAACAAGTGGCGTCTGTGGCAAAAATTGTTAAGATTGTGTATTTTAAATCACTTAATTGCCCCTCACCATTGTGGGTTTGAATCCCACTAGGGAATTCAGATTCTTATATATTGGAAGCTATCTAGCTGTGCTTACAGAACATCTGTGGTTTTACTCAGTGGTACCTTTTAGTGCCTGAAGTAATTGTGTGTTGGTGTGATGTATAATTCAAACAAAAATTAAAAAAAATAACAAATTCAAAGTTGCCAAAAGGGATTTGAACCCACAGAGTTTATAAACAAATGCTTGGAGTTCATCACTCTTAACCACTTGGCTTTGAAGTGTAGATGATATTTTGTTCAACTTCTTTGTGCAGAGCAATGGATGTAGATTCTGTTATATTGTGTGACATTATACAATGCAATGCTTGCAAGTTTTACTTGAAATATGTTTAATTTACACATCTTGTGAGAATTCCTATTGGACCAGTTGACAAAGATACATTACATGAAGGTTTTATTGATGGAGTATATGTAGATAGCTTTTCTTGTACAATATGAGATTTATTTTGATTTACATTGTTGTACATACTGCATTCTTTTATGCCAGACATGAATATATTACTGGGAAAAAAATAAGCTCAGGGGAATTGAAAAGCATTTTTGCAATTAAGTACTTTGCAGATCAGTTTCTTTAAATTTTCCCAGTAATTGAAAAAAGTTACATAATCTGGTCAGTTGACGTGAATTGCAGGCCCGAAATTTAAATTACATAATTCATAACTCAGAAATACAAAAAATTTACTTCTGATTCGGAATGTAAAAAGGAATTGATCTTATTGATGGATCTGTTTTTTTTTGCAGAATTATGTCATGAACAGTTATTCTGTCCCTTAGTTTCCATATTATTTTAATGTGTATACCCTAAGTTAATCCAATCAGACCTATGATTTTAGAATGCCTGTATACCCCAAAGTTATCCAAATCTGACATATGATTTTAATGTGTATACCCTGAGTTTATCCAAATCTGACATATGATTTTAATGTGTATTCCCTGAGATTATAAAAATCTGACATGATTTAAATGTGTATACCCTGAGTTTATCCAAATCTGACATATGATTTTAATGTGTATACCCTGAGCTTATCCAAATCTGACATATGATTTTAATGTGTATTCCCTGAGATTATAAAAATCTGACATGATTTAAATGTGTATACCCTGAGTTTATCCAAATCTGACATATGATTTTAATGTGTATTCCCTGAGATTATAAAAATCTGACATGATTTAAATGTGTATACCCTGAGTTTATCCAAATCTGACATATGATTTTAATGTGTATACCCTGAGATTATGTAAATCTGACATATGATTTTAATGTGTATACCCTTCAGTTTATCCAAATCTGACATATGATTTTAATGTGTATACCCTGAGTTTATCCAAATCTGACTTTTATGTTTATACCCTAAGTTTATCCAAATCTGACATGATTTTAATGTGAATACCCTGAGTTTATCCAAATCTGACTTTTATGTTTGTACCCTATAAGTTTATCCAAATCTGACATATGATTTTAATGTGTATACCCTGAGATTATCCAAATCTGACTTTTATGTTTGTACCCTATAAGTTTATCCAAATCAGACCTATGATTTTAAAATGTATACCCTGAGATTATCCAAATTTGACATATGATTTTAATGTGTACCCTGAGATTATACAAATCTTAATGTGTATAGTCTGAGTTTATCCAAATCAGACATATGATTTTAATGTGTATGGTATGTTTCTCTAGTCGGAGACAGATGCTAGACCTTACGGGTACGATGCTGAATATCACAGGGAACCAAGTCCGCGAACGATGAAAGCCGGGAAACGGAACAAAGCGTTGATAAGAGCTAGTCAGTTAATGCTAGTTATCTCCCTTTGTTATAACACTCGAGTACATTCACTTAAACCTAGCATAATATTATTGCACATTGTTTTTCAATTTTCAGATGCTAACCTATGTTACAAAGACACCAATTACCATTATCACTTTTACCGGGACTCTCACCCTTAATTTTCATGTACATGTATACAAATTGTTATAAAAAGAAAAAGAAAAAAAGGATAACTAGTTATTAGATCTAACATTGCACAAATATTTTTATTCCTGTATGCAGTACAATTGTAAAATAATGGGTAACACATGAAAAAGGCATTCTTTAAAAGAGCGAAATTTAAAATGACTTAAATATAAACGAAATAAAAATTTTCGAATGAAGGCTTCCAGCATTTTAGTGTAGTTTTGATAATTTGTGTAAATTTTTCTACAGAATTCTTTTTTTCTGTTTAGAATGCCTTTATCATTTTACCCTTTTTTTTCCATGACAGTAATATATTAACCTTTGTATTATCCTAACATATTTCACCAACTGTTCACCCTTTCATTAGGACACAGCCGAGTTACTGAGCATACAGGCACCTGGCACCGAGTTTGACTTTGAGAAGTCGGCTGATCCTCGTACCAGAAAGACAGCCAAGAATAACGCATCGCTCATGCAAATCAGTCAGTAATCAATTTTCAATGCCTTAAATGAGCCGCGCCATGACAAAACCAACATAATGGGTTTGCGACCAGCATGGATCCAGACCAGCCTGCGCATCAGCACAGTCTGATCAGGATCCATGCTGTTTGCTATCAGTTTCTTTACTTTTTATAGGGTTTGTAAGCAAACAGCATGGATCCTGATCAGACTGCCGGATATGCAGGCTGTTCTGGATCCATGCTGGTCTCAAACGCACTATGTTGGTTTTGTCGTGACGCAGCTTAAATAATTTACATCTAAATTTAACCCTTAACCTGCTGAATTTCTTGACTGGACTTTTTCTGGTCTCCATTTTTAGATCTAAAGGGATATCAAGATGAAAATATGAAGTTGGTCAGCGAACACTGTATAGAGCTTGGTCAACTGCTCTAAAGTGCAGGCTGAGCTGGCTCTATGCAGACGTCAAGAGCCAAACACTTTCAGCAGGTCAAGGGTTTGGGTTAATTTGCCTAGCGGTTTAAGTATTTGCCTCTTAACCAAGTTGTAGTGGGTTTAAGCCCTAAAAGGTCTCATGAGACCAGTACTGGTTTGTCCAGGAAGTGGACCGAAAAATAATTAATTAGAATTTTGTTATTAACTTAACACAAATATTACCTTAAAGTGTATAAAGGTATTGGGCTATATGTATTTCATAGAATATACCGTCATCTTAGTGCAGTAACAGGTTAACTCCTTATATAATTTAAAAGGAGTTAAACCGTTACTGCTGTAAGGTAACAATTTGTTTGGTTTTTGAACTAATGTACCCTTAACTGATATAACTACATTTGTTATTTTTTAAAATGCAGATTTTGCATGTTTGGAAATTAGGACCAAAATTTTTGTTAAATAAGGTTGTATTCTATATTTATAATTCTTGAGGTAATTTAAATTTTACTCCATTTTACTCTCTCCATAAGAATATGTAAACAACGTGAATGTACATTTTTGTGATGCTTGAATTATTTCTGACTAAAGGTCAAAGTTCAAGGTCATATTATAATAAAATCTTAATCAGGAGAATATGGCTTCAGATAAATCTTGGAAAATGAATGTTAGCTTTGTAACATTTGTTTCAATTTAATGATTGTTAACTTTCATGCAGCAAGTGCAGCGCAACAACTTAATTTCTCCGACAGAGGAAGTAGTTTAAAGGAGTACAACCCAGAAGAATTATTAAAAAAGTTGCAGGATAAGAAACGAATGGAGAAAATCTATGACTCCAAATATATAAGTGTGTAAATCAAGCAGAGATATTGTGTTGTATTACATACAGTATATTTAAACAGAGAAAAATGTTAGATATTTTGGTTGCTTTTATTTTATTGCACAGTTGCGACGAGCATTTTTTTTTTCTCAGCTTTTTTTTAAACAGAGCTCAGTTTATTTTTGAGGAGTTATAGATGTTGAGATCCTGTTAGTTTCATTGATTTGGTGTACTGGAAGAAATGTTGTTTGTTTTGTTTTTTTTAATTTTTTTATCAGCAGTTGCTTTTAAGATTCCTTATCATTGACAGTTTCAAATTAATCCACACCACCCTGAATAATCTAAAATGATCTTGTATTTTATTCTTGAGAAAATATAAAATCAGCAATTTTAGGGGAAAAATTTGAAATATATTAACTGACTTGAAAATGCACCGCGATCAGACGGCACATGGTGAGAATCAATTGCCGCCAGCTGGATAGGGGTTACATAATATACAGAGAAAAATCACACAAAAAATCGGCATGCCGCAGTCGGGACTCAAACCACAGGTCTCCGGATTGCCGGTCCGATATGCTAACCACTACAACACAGTGACTATTGTGTTTTCTCTATGCTAATTGATCATATATATTTAAGTTATTTCTAACTTTATTGTGACATTTTCACTTTTATTACCAGAGTACCTTCTTTGACGTTCAGTAATTGTACTATAAAATAAACATGTAACCCAAGAGATGTAAAAGAAAGGGAAAAAAGCCTTAAAAGGAAGACATTTAAACCTTTTACGTTTTTTTTCCCATAAGAATATCAAATAATAAAAAGCTACATTAGGGAAAAACAAAAAAAACAAGATATTTTGTAAATATTATCATTTGAATACAAATAAATTTTTGAGATTTAAGGACATTTAAATAATTATTCTATGCTTATCTGAGACAGATGCAAGCTTATAGCGGTGTTAGAATTTTATTTTGATAAGTGAATGAAGGAAACAACTTTAGTGAGAAAACGAAATATGATTTTGCATGACTTTGCTTTAATTTGTTTAATATGTAAAATCCAATTTATATACAAGTTGTTTTTGTATTTATTTCTATTTTTTTTCTTGTCAAAGAGTTTATTTTTACAGACATGGATGTTTGTCAATTGTTTACAAGACTGCATGTTTTGTTGTGTAACAGAGCTTTGTTGTTCTTAAACCCTTAACCTGCTAAATTTGTATAATCAATTCTCCCTCCTTTGATTATGATTATGGAACAGTCCATTTGAAGTTTAAGGGAATTCAATATCAAAATACAAAAAATAAAACAAAATGAACAACCAACTGTATAAAGCCTCCGGTCAGACTGTATGGAAGTTCAGGCTGGCCTGACTCCAATTTTGTTCAAGGCTTGCTCACTTTTGGTTAGGGGTGTCACGGTTAGAAAAAATGCTAATCGTTTTAACAGTGACCTAATAACCGTGTTAAACGTTTAACCGGCCATACTCATAAAGTCCTTAGATTTTCAACTTTAAATTTGTTTCTTTGTAACAAGATATGCCATTTTGGTCATATTTTGTTGTACTCAAAATGATAACAATACATATCTGAATATGGAGTAACTATTTTCGCTATGGTAAATGTACCGTATTCAATCAGATCCGAAAAAAAATACATTGTTGAGTATAACTCAAATACAAAAAAATGTCATATCTTGTCATAAAAAAACTAAGGTAATAATAAGAATCAATTTAAAACTTTTCTGCCCCTTAGTCAAATACTAACCTCCGGTACCGGTTATTGAATTTTCTAACCGTTTTTAGCTAAAAGCCGACCGTACCCGTTAAAACTGATAAACATGACAACCCTACTTTTGGAATCCTGCAGGTTAAAGGTTAAACATTGTTTTATTACAGTATAAGAGGATGAATAATCTACAAAATGAATAAAAAATACATATAAATAATACTCCATTTAAACCCAGTTCAACAAAATACATTTTTGAAATCTAATTGTTAGGTTTTTCAATTTGTCGATTATGATAAATGTCACAACTTGTTTTACTTTTGAATTGTACTAAATTTGTAGGAAATGCAAAATGATTTTGAAATGTATAGCATAATGTGTATAATGTTTTAATTTGTCAAGTAAATTGATATTTAGAAATTATTGTCAAGTAAATTGTTAGAAATAATTTGTAAAGTTAATTGATTATAATTTAGAAATTATTGTGTCAAGTAAATTTGATATTTAGAATCATGTGTATAAGTTTGATTCCTAAAAGTGAATTAATATTTAAATACATGTGTAAAATTTCCAGTGATTCAGTAATATGATAATTATATACTAGTAAATACATAGTTCATTTATATAATTTTGATTTTTTAAGTTGATGAATGGAGAACAAAATGGCATTTAACTGGTCAGTTTGTGGACAGTACACCGGATGACCTGATTAACGACATGGCAGATATCCAGTCACATGTTCGACTCAAGGCCATAGCCACCTGTGCCAAGGCTTCGGACTATAAACCACCAGAAGGTCTGTATCATAACTTCTGTGATTCTAATGTACTTAAATCTAAAATGTTCCCAGTGCCTCAATTAAAAAAATATTATGTGGTCACCTTATCCCAGTTGTTGAAATTTGATAAGAGTTGCAGCTATTCAAATTTGATAGTAGTTTACCCATTGCTGCACTGAGATGATCATGGTTAGGGTATCTATGGCTACAGACTTTGAACTGCTTGCCTCTCCTCTCACTTTTGTGAATTCAAATCCCATCAAGGACTTTGAAGTTTTTCAGTGAAGAAGCTATTCAACTAGCTTACTCAGGAGGTCTGTGGCTCTATTCTCATGTCTGTTCAAGCCTGGACTAATAATGCACCATGGGGTGCCCTGAAATCTTCCTCTACCAAAAGAGCTGACTTATTCCCTTATAAGCTGCTGACATTTTGAAAGATTTCAAACCAAACAAAAAAATGAGGGGAGATTATTATGAAGATAATTATTAGATAATTAGATTTTTATTTAGTGATATATTTTGTAAGTTAGTGCCATACTGGACCCTTACCTAATTTCTTCCTTACTGTTATGTTCTGAAATTGTTTCAGGACATGAATGTGTATCTAAGGAATAAAAAGGGAAGAATTTGTATAATAGCTGTATGCAGTTTCTTTGTGTGTGTGTGTAGGGGGGTTGGGGAGGAGGGAAACGGGTGTAACACTGTTGAGCATTGTAATATTTGTATAATATATACCATTGCCTAAATTACATCTTTAAAGCAGTATAAAAATGTTTTAATTTCATAATTTTGTTGTGTTTTCGAAATAATTTTTTTTATATCAGTTTTAAGACAATTGGCATTGGGAAATGATAGCTTTATTTGGTGAACATTGTGCAAAATTTGTCTAAGTACATAGAAAAATAATGGCAGTAAACAGTGTACTTCTATTTCTTATAAAACTATTTCTCTTCTCCAGATCATGGTATTCAACTTGACTATTTGGATAAAAGTGATGAAAAAGATAATTTACCAGAGAAACTCTTTGTGGCCCTTGAGTGTCTTCTTGAAGACCCTGTGGAAAAGGTGAAAACTGCTGCGGCCATTACATTATATTCTCTGAACCGGCCCTCTAAACCGGCTGAAGAAATACTTTATTCGGCAATGCAGAGTGATAATCCGGTAGACAGATGGGCAGCGGCGCAGTGCCTTGCTCATTATGGCGTCTGCGACTCTGACGTTGTTGGGGAGATATTACGTCAGGTCATGACGACAGAGGATACAATAAAACATGAACGAGGAATCAGTATGCTCGGAATTCTGAGCATCACGTCTGTAAGTGATTTTCTGTCTTGTATTTTAAGGAAAGCTAATTATGTTTCACCATGGTGGTAGGTTTATATTCCATTATCAATGCCATATAAAGATTTAAGGACAAAGTAAACTGAGGAAACTTTGGTTTGAACAACACACTTTCACTTACTCATAACAATGTCACTATGTGGCATATACCACCATAATTATGTACATATACAAAAAAACACAAAATATTATTTTACAACATTGCATTTGGCACCTTCTTAGCACATGTTTTTTAGCATTTAGAGTCCATATATTTCCAGATTTGTTTACTAACAAGAAACAAAAAATTAGAGATATATTTTCTCGTTGCATACAATTTTCTATATAATTATGTACATATGTACATTTATTCAATGCGTTTGAACATGCCAACATCCAATGTTTTATGTGCTGCATTCCGTCCATATTCTTAATCAAAACCATCCATTTACAAGCATATTTTTGCAGGTATATGTTGAACAATGCCACATAAAGATCAAAGAAAAAGTCAATAAACCTTAAATTTTAAAACCTCTGTGTCATCATTATTTAGTTTAATCAATATTTATGTGTAATATTTTCATTTACATAATAAAGTACCGTACATAAAATAAATTTTACGGATTGAGAAGAAACTTAAAAAGCTTTTTTTTTGGAAACTCTCTCTCAACATATTTTCAATGTTTTAAGAAAAACTTGTATGTATTTCAGAGCCTTGTTCATTCTATGGTTGCCGAGCAACTAAATAGTAGTAGCTGGAGACACAAAATTATAGCCTGTAAAATACTGCCAACTCTTAGAGGAGACATAAATAGGGTGAGTATTTAATCCTTACTACCTTAAATATCTTAGATGGACTTGTCCATCTTTCTTATTGGACAAGACCATTCATCATTTTTAGGGAAAATTTCAGAATATGTACTAAATAACTAACAGTGCAGATTGGGATCAGTCTGCACAAGTCACATTGGTAAATTCATTTACTGCCAGCAGGCTAAGAAATAAAGTGATCAGAGTAAATAGCTCTTCTACTGCAATTCTAATCTTTCATTGGAAAAATAAAGGAAATGATAATTATGTTTCAAAGACTTTTTAGTCATGTCAAATATATATGGGTAGCTATAAACATTGACCATTTACTAGTATAACCTATTGTTTAATTAGACTTGCTTTAACCCGTACCACAGTTAAATTATTCCATCATTCAGTCCGGATGAAACTACTCATCGCTGTAGGGAGAATTTCAAAATAAAAACTTCCTAAACAGCAAACAGTGTAGACTATGCAACAGACGGCAGTTTTAACATTTTCATTCATTGCATTTTCCTGAATATTTGATGTTTCAGAATGTATTCAGTGTAAAATATTATTAGGAACATCACATTTTAATCCTTTAAATACTTTTTTTTATTTGCCATTCTGTTTTTTCATAATCTTTTTTATGATATAATTATTATACTAGTGTATGATGTTTAATATCAATTATATAAAAAAAAAATCTTTCCTACATGTACCTACCCTCGTTTTTGGGAGTTGGAGATTTGAAACAGAACTTTTTTGTTGGGCTCAAGGATTTGTGGGGTTCAAGGAGATAGTGCTAAAAATGTTTAATTCTCTAATCCCTCAAATGTTATGTTTCAGGATATTACCAATAAATTAACAGATCTCATGTGGAATGACTGGCATTCAGAGGTGAGGAGAGCTGCTGCCCAGTGTCTTGGAAAGACCGGACATGGGCGTGATGTGCACGATGATCTTAGAAATAGAATATTGGAAGGCGATGAGAGAATTAAGCTTGAAGCTCTCAGTAAAGTTGGACAGCTTGGTATGTATCAAATTTCTGATTGTCTATTACATAACATTGTTGGTATATACAGGTATTGTCCGGTATATAACATGTTGGAGATATAATGTGCACTTGAGTTCCAATTTTTTGAAATATCTTAACAATTTGATATTCAGTTTACCTTTTCCTCAGTGTCCATTTTCTTAGAATCTATGAAAGCTTTTTACTTCAGACTTCTTCGCTATGAAAATGTGACACGTTAATTTTTCAGGTATCATGACAGCAAAATTACTGCCAGCATTTCTGAAGTGTTTTGAAGATGAGTACGTAGCCATTAGGTCTGAAGTTTGTATAACATGTGGTAATATAGCTATAAAAGATGAAGAAGTCATCGCTAAATTGATCCAATTAGCCACTTTCGACAACATCTGGAAAATCAAAGCACTGGCTTTTCAAGGTACGTGAATATTAGTTTAATTATAAGGGAGACAACTGCTATGAGCTTATCTCGATTAAAATGCTGTATTATGTGACAGTGTTTTCTCCCTTTAACTATTGCTGAGTAAGTGGTAAAGCCTGAAAACAGAATTTAAGAGGTTATTGTCAAAAACATATGAAAATGTCTTAAGAATCTTTATGTCTAGAATTCTTTGTAATCATCATACATTTGCTTGTGAGAGCATCACATTTGTAATCCAGGGGTCGCTCATTCAATCTTGGGGCAAGGCGATTTTCTCGTGACATTGTTGTCTTATGGTCATTTGTCTCTCTTTGCTAATTTTAGAAATTATGTGGGATTAGAAGTTGATCATTTGTAAAGAAGTTGCTTATTGCTATTCCTCGAAAGCTGATTAGATGGGCACAGACCCTAAAAAAATACAAGTTATCCCTTATCTTTATTTGAAATTAGTCTTTACAACATACTTGGATATGTATATATTTTTGAAATCTTGATAAAAATCTTGATTAAGCTAAGATGTAATTTCTTTGAATGTGGAGGCCAGTTGAAGCTTTTTATTTTTTATAAAACTTGAATCACTTTGTCTTGCAGAGGAGTATGTTTGAATCCCCTAAGGAAACATTGATTTACGATGGAGCTTTCTAGTTTATAGGGAATAGGGAAAGTACATTGTTGCTGGGTTTTTTTTTGTGTGTTTATTTATTAAGGTGCCGGATTGTGCCTGAAATAATGAACAGAGGGGTATTCAGGACCTACCTTTAAGTTAGCATAAAAAAGTCTGGAAAAAGGGTGATCTCTTGGAAGCATTATAATCACAACAAAATTATATGAAAATTGAAGACTTGGTTTAATTGTCTGTCCATGAGGGATAATGAAAAAGTTCAACATCCCTCACATACCCCCTAGCTTGAGCTTAAGTTTGGATGGTCCATTTGATCTTTTATAATGATGGTATGATTTAAAACTGAACCAGAAAAACTATTTAATATGTGTAAAATGGAATATGTTATTTTAGATGAATATTACTTCTATTCTTGTACAAGGAAAGCAAATTTGTTATCATTGAATACATAATGTAATGATTCCCATGATGTTTAATGTAATTGAGGTGTTCCATTGTAATACAGCAATCATTCCAATTTGACACATTTTATCGTCTGCTTTTTGCATCTGCTGCGGAGAAAATACAGTAACGTCTGCAATGCATGCCAAGACAAATTGCAGCAATGTAAATTGAATTGCTTGATAAACAAAAACAGTACTTTTTTTGTTATTACTTTATTGGATGTGAATTGATGAAATTGCGGTTTGAAATGGAAAGCGTGCTGGTTTTCGGTATGTTTATGACGGAGAGGTGCAACTTGCAATTCTTACATGATTGATTTACGAGGAGATGAGTGTATCATTCTACACGCGTGCCAGAATTCTGTGTACTCTTATATCACTGTATTAACATTGTCTTCATTCAGAATTATAACGCTGCATATAAATTTGTGACATCAATTTTCTTTTGTCAGCCTGAATGTTTGAATTATGATCCATTTAAAATACTGCTGAAAATGAATATTTAAGAAATTTTTCTCTCTGTCAAAAATGGTATTGTGGAGTATTTTGAATTTGTTGAAAATACTTTTAAACTAATTGTTCTTTCCTTGAGCAAGTTCTACACTCATTACTCGAACTTTTCAACACAGGCATTATGGGTTTATGTCCTCTTGAGTTTTCTCGTCCAAGGTTATAAAGGAATTTTCCAATCTCAAACTCAAATCTCAGGTATACCATTGGTTTGAAACTGTCACAGAATGTACACCGACCAATGAAAATCCTAAATCCTGAGATTGGAGACAGAACTCGGAAAAAAGTTTAAGAACCCCAAGACCAGTACTAAATAGTTTAGGAAGTGGACTTAAGGGTAGTATTATCTTTAAGATTTTTTTTTTCATGACATGGTGAACATATTTATATGTTTGAATTAAAGCAGGTGTTAAACCTATTACAAACTAATACGAACAATTTAGTTTTGAATAAATTTAAGAACTTTAAGTAATTTATATTATATCCAGAAGTATATTGTCACCAGAAATGTTTAAAATATATATTCAAGCAAACTTTACTCTTATTTTAATGATTTATCAATTGGGCTTTTTTGTACAAAGCTACAAGTAATTGTAAAAAAGAAAATATTTAAAATCTGGCATCTACTATGAATTATCTAGTTAATACCAGTTTGTTTTTGTCATAATCTATCCTCTACACTATAGCTATAAATATTTGCTAGATGAAACTAATTTGTGAAAATTGAGCTTAATTTCATGTGAATGCTGGAACTATTAACATATGACCTTTGTAATAATTGCCTACTGTTTCTGTTGTTCTCATAAAACACACTAGACACTCTGATTCTTGTTTATGACGGCAGATATGGTATTTATCTGCCATTTCATTCAGCACTGATAGAGAGTAAGTGAATCTATGCTGGTGAGCACTTAAAACAATTAGTTGATCGGTTGATTCCCAGTGAGGTAAATGTCCTGAAACTGGGAACCAATGAATCAGTGTTGGTATTACAGTGAGTTGGTTCCCAGTGAGGTAAATGTCAAGCTGGGAACCAATGAAATCACTCTTGGCATTGAATACTTAAAACAATAAGTTGGTTCCCAGTGAGGTAAAGGCCATGAAGCTGGGAACCAATGTAACACTTTAAGTGTCAGGTATTAAACAAAGCTAGAGGGCACTTAAAACATTATTTTGGTTCCAAGTGTGGCAAATGTATTGAAGTTGTATCACATTTGATATGGAGCATTAAAAAACATTTGAGTTGGTTTCCAGTGAGGGAAATGTCCTTTAGTTTGGAACCAGTGTAACACATTAGGTATTCTAGAGAGCACTTTAAATGATGAGTTGGTTCCCAGAGTGAGGGAAAATGTCATTAAGTCAGGAACCAATTTATCACTTTAGGTATCAAGCACATAAAACATCAGATTGGTTCCCAGTTTGGAATCAAAGTATCAAGTTTTGTGTCAAGCACTTAAATTATTGTGTATGTTTGGTTCCAGTGAGAGAAATGTTCTAAAGTTGGGAACCAGTATATCAGTTGTGTTGTGCCTAATAATTTTTTTCTGAAAAAGTCATGCTGTCATGAGTTATGGAAGCTCAGTTGCTATCTTAAGATAAAATTTTCCCTTCATCAAAGATTGAGCTGCATTTTGTGCAGATGCAAACAAAATGCCTGAGCAGCTGCATTTATTTTCAACCTAGTTTTTTGTATGCATTTATATCAGTCAGATTGCTTGTTTGATTTAAATCATGATGAAATTATTTTTTAAAAATTTGATTAGAGATAAATCATAAGTGTTTTGTATGTTTATTTGAGATAAATGCCAGTGTTTTACTAAGTATACATCTTATCTTTTTTTTTTCATATTCCTCAAGCATGGGTGTTTTTTTTTACAAACATATTTTAATACACAGGGTTTTTGTTGAATTAGCCTTTGTTTATTATATTATGATTGTAACGGAACATATTTGTTTGTTCTGCTTCATGATGTTACATCCTGGCTTACATCTTGGTTAGATCTGGGTCAGATTTTATGTTACAAAAATCTTTTGTTTCAATAGAAGTCTTTTGTTTTAATAGAGGTCTTTTCCCAGCCACAAAAGCAGCCCCCCACTTCACAAGAGTCCCCTACTTTTAATATGCTTTTTTTGGACTTCAATAGAACTTTTATAACTAGCACCTGCGCTTCAGATGAAGTACTAGGGACTTCAAGTGTACTTGCTTCAACTGCAGCTGTACTTCATCTGAAGCCCCATCCAGCTTCTAATGAGCTTCTGAATTTGTGAAAGTGTGCTTCAGTTGAAGCACCAGGGCTTTTTAAGTGCTTCATTTTGATAGTATTTTGTACTAGAGACTTATTTGCTACTTCTCAGACTTTGACTGTTTGTTTGAAAGTTATTTTGATACAAAATGTATACTTAAGATGTGCTTTTGAAACTTAGCAATGCAGGACTTGTTTTGAGGAGGCTTCAAAAATGCTTTTAAAACTTGTATTTTTGTAGTTCTCTGATATGATTATCAGCTTGGAAATTAATTCATAAAGTCAATGAAAATGCATGTATAAAAAAGAAAATAACTGAGTAAAATCAATATTTTAGTTTGATAAGGATCTAACATTCTACAGATCATTATGGTGGTGAAAAATGTATTTATTAAATTCCCTCAAAAATATATGATTCATTATGTAGTCAATTATACCAATTCAGAGCCAGTTTTGACATTAAAAACCACTTCCTAAAAATTATTATTGCATATGAATCATCTAAATATATTGTAATTAATACTGCCCTCACACATACCTCGCGACCTTACTGCGTCCTTACTGCGACCTTACTGCGACCTTGCTACGACCCAGGACGCAGCACAGTCGCCATGGACGCAGCAGGGACGCAGCGAGGTCGTAGCGAGGAACCCAAGGACGCACAAGGTCGCAGACCGTCGGCGACTATTTTGAACATGCACAAAACAGTCGCAGAAACTCTGCGTTCTTGCTGAGTCCTGGTTAGGTCGCCGCGGGATCGCAGTGGAGTCGCCATAGTCGCAGCAGCATCGTAGTAAGGACGCAATAAGAACGCAATAGACGTAGTACACTCGTACTAAGGAAACCGTATGTGGACCACTAGAAGACTGTTTGTATGCGTCTCCGCCAGTGGATGAAGCCGCGATTTCTACACACTGTGAACCACTACCAAACTGCATATCTGAAGCGGCGACTGGGTCAACTTGTAGCACTTTAGAGACCCTCGCTCTTTTGCCTCGCCCGCCTCTCATCTTTGGAATAATATGGATGATTTAACTTAATACTAATTAAATATACGTCTTCACTCGTTGAAGGTCAGACTCAGAATGAAATTTACTGGTAAAAAGTATTGTTTTTATAGACGTAGCAAGAACGTAGTAGGGTCGTCGTACAGTCGCAGGACAGTCGCCGGACAAACGCAATAGTCGTCGTAGAGTCGCCGTAAGGACGCAGAGAACATAGCACAGTCGCAGCTGGGTCGCCGTTGATCGCCGTGGGGTCGCCTTGGGGATGCAATACAGTCGCAGTGGAAACGCCATGGACGTAGAAGGGTCGTATTGAGGACATAGAGAAAACGTACTGAACACAAGACTGCAGAGCCCCGGACCGTCTGCGAGAGAAATTTGAAAGAAAACCAACGATTTTCGAAAGAAAAATGCTATTTTACTAGTTTTCAGGTCGCAGTAAGGTCGTGGTTTATGTGTGAGGGCACTTTAACAGGTATCATCAGTATCTGCTTAACATAAAAAAGAAGAATTATCTTCATGAATATTAACATAGTTCAAAGATGCTCAAAGATTTCAATTACATGACTGCAATTATTCTGCATCCTTCTGTAAATCTACCACTGTTTTCTTCCACACAAATATTCTTATCATCTGTGATCCCTCAAGTGGAAATTATGACCCCTTCCAACAGTTTTCAAATCAGATAGGTCAGCTTAACATGAGGTATACATGAGAATAGGGAGTGATAAAGCAAGTTTACAATACTCTAGCTACATGTAACCCAATACCCAGAACAAATCTTCATCCTGGTCATTTATACAGAAGTGTTTGAATGTTTGGATCTGCTTACAAGTTTTAAGATATGTTATCATGAGTGCATGAGCTAGTAAAAAAGTTAAATGTGATTAATATTGTTATTTAGTTGAAATGATTCCAACTAATACAGGTTTACAACAATTTTCTGAAACTATATTAACATGTATAATGGGACAGCAAATGTGTACTTAAAGTTCCTGTTAAAAATGGAGGCAAATTGATAAGCAATTCTATGGAATAAATTTTCGGTAAGTAATTTGAACTATATAAATATTTGAAATTCATTAAATGCAAAATGAACTTTTTTAGATTTCGTTTTCCTTAAAAAATATCAAGTTATAAGCTCTAAAATGATAAGGTCAGATTCAAATATTTAAAATTTTATAGTCTTATGATACAATTGTATGGCAGGAAATTTGGAAATTATGTCCTTTTCCTTTTGTATATTTATATCTAAATTTAATGCATTCCATATAAGAAGAACATATGACTGACTTAACATTTAATAAGATTACCTTTATACATGTATATTGTATTATAATAATTATATAAATGTGTATATTTTTTTCTAGACCAAATTCTCCAAAAGTCAGTGAGAAGTTTGAAAATGAAAGAAGAAAAGGATACAAAAGAATACAGAATTTACTTGGTAATTAGTTTGCTTTAATCAAATAGGCTTATTATGACTATAAGAATAAATTTAGATTTACTCACAAATATAAGATACCTAGTTGATTTTATCATGTTTAATGTCTATAATGCTTTATGCACCTAAAGCTTTCACTGGTGAGAATTGTGATACAAAAATTTGAAACTGACATTTGAAGAATTTGATGTAGTTATATCAAAGAATGAATACTTAGCCATTAAGTAAGTGAATAATTAAGCATTGCCACTCATTATCTGACTGGGCTACAAAGACATTATATGTCCTAAGATGATTATGACCCCAAAAGTAACAAAATACACTGTGAGTTGTTTTCCTGGCAATTTTTGTACTTGCTTAAGTTGAAAAATTTAATTTTAATACATTTGCAAACTTTTTTTCCAGATAATTTGTATTAGTGTTATGTTTTTTTAAAGCTGCATGATTACCAATCTAGAACATATGTGCATATATACATAATAAAAAATCATTTTAATTTTTTTTTTCAGGATGCAGAAGAGGTATTCCCATCATATAAAATCTGCAAACCAGCATTGTGCCAGTGAATCTGTTTGGAAAAGACTGAAAGTGAAGGACATGTATAAATTGAAATTTAATTGATGTTAAGCTCAAAAGAATCTTTTGTTTTACAGTGTTATACCTTTATGCATGGAACCGTATTTGTTAATGAGGGTGAAATGACTGAATAAATTTCTTTGATGTAACATTTAATGAATTATTATTGTTTATCAATTGAAAGTTGATACTGTAATGCTCACCTGAACAAAAAGTGCTCAGGTGAGATTTTGTGATTTCCTGATGTCTGTAAAACCTTAATTGTAATTAATCCATTAAGTTTAAAGATTCAAGAGAAATCTAAAAATGTTAGCTGATTTTGGAGCTTTTAAGTTTTGTAGTGGGGCTTCAATAGTACTTTTTCACTGGGACTTAATTTGTACTTCATCAATATGCTTCATGTGTGCTTCAAAGAGAAGCTTCAAGTATGCTTCCTAACTGAGACTTCATCTGTACTTCTTTATGGGCTTCAAGTGTGCTGCATTACACTGAATGCCCTTAATATGTAAGCTTCAAATGTACTTCTCAAGGGGTACTTCAAAGATACTTTAAAGGAGTACGGTTGAAGCCTAATTAGCATAATTCGAACGCGCTTCAAAGGAGCTTCATCTATGTGTTGGCCATTACCATTTCCATCAAATAGATGAAAGCACATATGAAGCAGGGACTGCAACCAAGCTTCTTATATACTTTACCAGAGGGCTTCAAATATACTTATAATATACTTGAATTGTGCTCTATTTGTGGCTGGGTTGTTTAATAATCTGTAAGATCTGTAAATGCTGTTAAGAGGAGAGCTGATTAGTGTCTGCCACTCGACTAAAGAATATTAGGTTGGAGCTCTACTCAGGTCATGACCTCCAGCGGCGGAGGTTATAAAGAAATATTCTTATCTCAAATTCAGGTCACAGGTATTTGATTGGTCAGAAACAGGCACAGAATTTGAATTGACCATTGAAAATTTTGAGATTTGAGCTTGATACCGCAGGAAAGGATTTGCAACCTAAAAAATTGGACTCGGTTTCCTCATGACACTTAATAAAAAGTATGCAGGTTTTGTTCATAGACTAAGGAAGCAAACTGTGAAAGTGATTTTTATATGTTGCAATAATTCTAGTCAGACATTATCAAAATTGGCACCAAATAACACTTATTTCTATGACCTCATCAATAAATGGGGATCATGAATATTTTACACATAATACATTCTTTTTGTTATATTTTAAGGACAGTATCCGAAATTCCGTATTTCATTCAAATTTCAAACCATGTGTGTGTAATATAAGTTATATCTCACTGAAATTTTTTTTCAATATCTCACTGCAGAACATAATGATAAATCATGTTTTATAACAAAGGGTTTTAGCTCCAGATGAAATAAATTGAAAACCTTGCTTCATCTAATATCCTAGCTTTTATCTGTCTACATTGAATTTTAATTGCTTTTATATAGGAGATATCTTGTAACAATTTAAATTCCACATTGGTATTCTACGCTTAATCAACCCAGAATTTCAATAGATGAGGCAATATCTTCAGGATTTTCTAACATATTGTCTGTACTTTGTTATCTGATATTTTTAATTGGCTTCCATGTCTTTTAATTTCCGCACACAGTCTGGGAGGTAGGGTTGTCTCATTGTTTAGTGTTACATAATCAGTTTATCGGAATGAGGTTTCTGAGATGCACAATTGTATTTTAAATGTTTCTTGAAGGTTTGCTTGAATATTTTTTTTTTATCAGATCTTTTTATGTAACTTTATCATGATCTCTTATCTAAGGCAGAATGTGATGCTATCTTAAAATTTCTCAATATTTTGATGGTTGATTATATAGAAATGCAAGACTGCAGTAGGGGTGCTGTCAGGCCATTTATTCTGAAACATATCAGATTTAAGGACCTGACAGCATCACTGTCAATTATATTGAGATAATATTACTAAGTTCTAATTGCCAATTTTATTTTGTTGCCTAACATTTTAGCGATGTTTACTGGAAAACAAAATTTATGTGACCATGCTCTTTGGTTGAGGAATCTGTTGGATGTTTATGCCATTGAAACATGCACTTTGTCAGAATTACTTTCAAATAGGCCTCTAAGGCACGGTGTAAGGGAGAAGACTCTTGAAATGAATATTGTAAGGGAGAAAACTCTTGAAATAATTTAAAAAATAATTCTCTTACATTAAAAATTAAATAATGATAATGTAAATATCAAAACTTGAGTACAGTTTTCATATAATGTTCATAAACATATTATGAGCAGAATTAAAACTATTCAATAGAATTTCTTTAAACTTTGCATGATTGTTGAATATTGCAGGAAATTAAAATATCATAGCACAATGTGGTACGGAGGATAGGAAATAATTACCGTTTAACATGTTGTTGCTTAGATATTTGTGCAATAAAAAACCACTTATATTGCAGTTTACACCTGCAAATAAAAGTATATTTCTCTTAAACAAATGACTGTTAGGATGGAAAATCTGCTAAATCTGATGAGATATCTTTTATTTGGTGTCTAAATATGTACGCAAGGGTGTGTATAATTACCCTCCACCCACATATGAATTTTATCTGGCCGACCAAATTTTAATTTCAGATTACTGTAAAATAATTACACTATTAAAATTTCACACTCAAGATTTTCATATTTTAGTAAGGGTTTGATGAAATGATAAACCTGTTGTATTTTACAACCTGTTTGTGCAAAAAAACTGAATATTTTTGGAGTTGTGGCCCTTGTTTATAACAAAATAACACATTTCAGGCAAATTTTTCTTGCAGATTTTCATAATAAGTTACTGATTTTGATTTGAAACTCACTCAGTTTTAGCAATATAATTATATATAGGTAAGTTAATGGGAGATCAATGATTCTACTTGGGTGCGGTTGTGCCTCGAATACTTAATACATGTAATAGTACTTTAGGTATTATTTACAAATAAAGCTGGAATTTAGTCATGTTACATTATTGATATGACAGGGAAAAAATCAAAATCCAATAAAAGAAAGCATAGGGTAACATAATTATTCAATACTGTAACAGTCGAACCTCTGTAGAGTGACACCTTATATGACACCCTGCTTGAAGCAAATATTTTGGTTGTTGTTGAGAGGTGATACTTTTGGGAAAAACAATGATACTGTTGTTGTAAAGAGGTGATTGCTATACAGGTGGCCACTATGTAGAGGTTGCACTACAGATCATTTTTGGATAAAAAAAAACTAAGTTAATCAATAATGAAATTTTTATTTTATGGCAAGAAACATCTGTACATTTATAAGATTGATTAGGCTATTTTTGCTGCTGTAACTTTAGATATCTCTTTATGGTAATTATATGTCTTTGTGGTAATTATCTCTTTGTATTTGAGATCTATTTAAGAGCCATTATTGTTGTATTATTCCTGTTTCAGTCATAAACTGTACAATGACCTCAGAGATGAAACATTCTTGATTAGTTTATTAACAAATATTCCCCCCTTGGAGATATATAACCTCACCTTAGTGAAATAACGTGTTAACTCCTATTAAATTTAGAAGGACTTAACCTGTTTATGCACTAAGGTGACGATTATTATAATATAAACTGTTATTATAGACAAAGACATTTACCAGGACAGGCACCATGGGACCTGACAGGTTTAGTTATATTCTCCCAGCATTCTGCCATACCAAGGAATTAGTTCACACTGTTAGCACAATAAACTTGAACATCCCAGGACTAAATTTATGATTTTACCACCGGCCAGAAACATTAGTAACATATGTGCTCTGTTGTAAATATCAGAGAATGTATTATAAGTTGAATTTTTAAGTCACCCTGACTCTTTAAAGGTCATATTGTCACCTAAATGCAGTAATGGGTTAACTACTTATATAATTTAAAAGGAGTTAACCTGTTACTGCATTAAGGTGACGATAATATGATTTCCATGGGAGAAGACCTCATTTGATGCCAATATGTGTATTTTGCAGGCACATTAGCTGGCACTCTTTTTAAATTAGTAGAACTTCAAACCTATTCCATATAGCTTTAACAAATGACAAGCTTCAGTTGTTTTAGTTCCTCCATAATGGTCACTCAAAATAAAATTATCAATACAGTAAAACCTGTATGTTTAAAGACTACAATTGGAATTGGAAACACAATGGTCTTCCGAGACATACAAGTTGTCCCTAATGATTTATAATTAAAATAACTGTTGCATTTTTTTTTACTGTGTACACACAAATGTGAGGAAAATGCTTTTTAATAACAAGTAATTGCTGTCTTTTGCAAGGAAGTCTTTTTATTTTCTGTTTTCTTTAAGTATACTTTAATGGCTTTGCGATGATATGTTAATCATTTAAATGATCCAGTAAAAACATCGTCACAAGCATACATACACATGTGTGTATATATATGTATAAACATTTTGACATGACCATTAATTTCACAAATTCAACAGGGTAGGGTTACCCATAACATCATCAAGCTCTGTGTGGCAGCATGACTAAGTAGTTAACTTATCAGACTAGTAAAATAAGAACTGCTGGCTACGTAGGTTCAAAGCACTTGAGGGACAAGCTTTTGTTTCCACCTTTACTTACATTGCTAAATACTGGTTGGTTTGATGGACAGATTCATGACTTGAGAGTTTTTCAATAAGCTTTGAGTATAGCTGCCAACGTAATCAAACTAAAACAAATTTATATAAACTAAGCTCTGCGTATTAACAATAAAGAATTTAGAAGCAAAAGAAGGGCAATTTAGTCTTTATGGTTAGAGATTGAAAAGTCCACTAGTCCACTCGTAATTACAAGTAGAATTTTAAGAGAACTGGATGCAGGATGAGTAGAAAAATGTTGCCTGCACATTGGATTTAGAAGCTACTCATCCTGCAGGACAAGTGACTCTGAAAATAGTTTTCGTTGTATGATAAAAACTATTTGTGCCTTTGATATTAAATTTTGTATATTACAGCCCTTGGGAAGATTGGCGTGATCACAGAGCAGATAGTAGACTGTTTGCTGTGGGCCGTGAGATATGAGGAGAACCCAGGGGTACGAGCAGAGGCATGCCACACCCTTAAAGTCCTCAAAGTGAAGACAGAGGAGGTGGCCGATGTCATTCAGGACAGATACTTGGTCGAGTCTAACCAGATGGTCCGAGAGTGAGTAGAATAATTCATTTCAGTTTTCAATTTATAGTGAGGAGGACAATTTACCCTTGACCTCCAGTCCTAGGTCAAGGTCAGCAGAAATAAGGTCAAAGGTTGAGGAAGAAATTTTGAAAGTTTTAATAGATCAAAATGTGTTGTTTTATTCACAGTCATTCTTTTTACATTACAATTTATGTGTCTTTACCATGTACATCTTATTCTTAGAAAGTAAAAAATTTAGTATATATGAACAGAACAGAACAGAAATTTTATTTTGTAACGTATACAATACAGTATCTTGTTACATTACATATATCAAATATTATAAATAGATAAACACATGATATAATTCAAAGATTTACAGTATATTGGAGAATGAACATATATTGCTGCGAAAAAATTGATTTTGTATTAAATAAATGTATATCAGAATAATCTCATTTTTAATATCAGAATAATCTCATTTTAATATTAAAATTACTAGCGAAATCTAAACGTTTACAATATCTATGAAAATAATAACAACATTTTAACATTACATTTATGTATAACCTAAGCTTATCAACATATCTTTTCTTTTACTATTTGCAAAATAAATAAATTTACATAAATTTAATAATATAGACTTTTCACATGACTGAAGTAATTCTATGAATTTAAACATGCTAGGTTTTTTATAATAATATCTTTTAATGAATTTAGTGCGTATTTCCTGGTACAAATTACAAACAAGTATAAAATGAAATTCGTCTTCGACATCTTGTGTATTACAAAGTTGACATATGCGCTCATGTCTTTCAAGTCTGTTTCTACCATATCTACCAGATTCTATTCTTAAATTATGCGCAGATATTCTGAGACGGGCTAATTGTTGTCTTGATTTCATACACTTAATTTTATCTAAATAGCATTCCATAGAAAAATTATCCTTGATATGTCTATACAATGTATTTAAAACGTTATTATTAACAATATCTGAAAACCATTTTTGTTTAAAAACATCAATGACTCTTTGTTTAAAAATATTAACAAATTCTTTTGGATTATAAAGTTCAGGACAATTCCACACCTCAGAAAAACCAAATTCATCTAAAATTCCTTTTACTTTATATGCCCAGTTTTTTACTCCTTTTTTACACTGATTTAATGTATTTATATACACACATTTAACAATGATATTGCTTGAATGTATCACTTTAAACCAATATTTTATTATGTGAACATATCTATTAACATAAAGTGGGTATCTTCCTAGCTCACCATAAATTGCTGCATTACAAGAGCTTATTTTCACACCAAGAATTAACTTGCAAAATTTCAAGTGTAATCTCTCTATATCTTTAGATTTTGTAAATCCCCAGACTGGACAAGCATAATTTATGATAGAGCCGACAAAAGCATCAAATAATTGTAAGGAAACAGAAGGGGAAATTTCATACTTGTTAATGTTACATATTAAAACATTCATTGCTTTCAAAGCTTTACCTATAAGATATTGATTATGAAGTACAAAGGACCCGGTGTAATTAAATACTACACCTAAATAATTAAAATCGTCAACAATTTCCAAAGCTTCATTATTATAAAACCAACGTTCATGAGGAAGTACTGGTCCTCTATTCCGAAAAACAACTATTTTAGTTTTGGCGGTATTTACCTCTAGGCCCCATAGATTACAGTATTCAAATAAAGAGTTTAGTCTTTGCTGTAAATCCTCTTGCGAGTTACCAATTATTACCATATCATCAGCGAATAACAATATTACTATACATATTTCAAATATATTCAATCCACAATCGACAGAGTTTTGTAAAAATAATTCTAGGTCTTCTAAAAATAGTGCAAACATGGCGGGCGAATTATTTTGGCCTTGTCGTAGCCCAACCGATAAATTGAAAAACTCTGAAAATGTATTGCAATGTTTAACACACGACTTAACAATTGAATACATTGATTTAAAAGTTCTAAGTAACTTCCCATCTAATCCCATATTAAACAATTTATACCATAACGCATTGCGGTTCACAGAGTCAAACGCCTTTTTTAAGTCGATAAAAGCACAAGGTAATCGCATTTTTTGAGTTAACATATGGTTTATTAAATTGTGTAACACGAAAATTGCATCTACTGTACTACACCCCTTTCTGAAACCAAATTGAGCGTCTGACAAAATGTTATTCTCATCAAACCATTTTTCCACTCTATTTGTCAAGATACTTATAAACAATTTCCCAAAGTTACTTAGTAATGTGATGCCACGATAATTATTAACATTAGTATGATCACCTTTTTTATGAAGAGGTATAATAAAGCCTTCAGACCATATTTCTGGAAAATAGCCCGCATCAAAAACTCTGTTAAAAAGATCAGTGATATGGCCTACTAATATATCAATAGAAAATATAAAGTATTCGTTCAACAAGTCATCACTTGGACAAGATATATGTGTATGATAATTATGAGATAGCAGATTCCTCAATGTAATTAGCTCGACTTTTCTATGAAAAGGGGAGCTATCCTACTCGCCCCGGCGTCGGCGTCGGCGTTAGCGTCGGCGTTGGCGTCACACCTTGGTTAAGTTTTTCGTACCACCCCACTTTATTTCAGAAGTATTACAAGTATGGCTTTGAAACTTACCATACTTGTTCACCATCATAACCTCCATCTACAGACAGGAGTACATAACTCTGTCAAGGTTTTTGACAGAATTATGGCCCTTTTTTGACTTAGAAAGTGTATTGAGCTTGGTTAAGTTTTTTGTACCACCTCACTTTATTTCAAAACCATTGGAGGTATTGCTTTGAAACTGACCATACTTGTTTACCATCACGACCTTCATCAACAGACAAGAGGACATAACTCTGTCAAGGTTTTTGACAGAATTATGCCCCTTTTTGACTTAGAAAATACATTGAATATGGGTAAAATCCACTTATTGCCTTAACCCTTTGAGATATTGCTTTGAAACTTTTAATGCTATTTCACATCATTACCCCCATCTGTACGCAAGAGAAGGTAACTCTGTCAGGGATTTTGTTTTAAAAATTAAGGCCTTTTATCGACTTAGAATCTTGGTTAACTTTTTTGTACCAGTCAACTTTTTGACTGAACTGGTTGAGATATTAAATTGAAAGTTGGAATACTTGTTTACCATCATGGTCCCAAAACATGGGCAGGAGAAGGTAATTCTGTTAAGGATTTTATTTCAATTATGGCCCTTTTTGACTTAGAAACTCAGTTAAAATTTTCATTCTTGTCCACTTGTTGACTTAACCATTTGAGATATTACTTTGGAAGTTGGAGTTCTTATGTGCCATCATGAGACCTATCTGTAAGCAAGAGAAGATAACTCTGTGAAAATGTTTCTTGATTTGTACTTAGAAATTCCTAGTTAAAGTCTTGTGTGCCCTTAACTGTCAAAGTTTTGTTTTATAGGCAAGCACTAAAAAAGTCGAGCGCGCTGTCCTTCTGACAGCTCTTGTTTTATTAAACTTGTTAAAACAATATGGCATCCCATTTATCTAGAATAACACTTGATTTTATCTTTTGATGGTGTCTGTATGTAACATGTAAAAAAAAGAGTAGCTGTTAACATCAAAATGAAAATTGTTTTATTTAATTTAAAAATACTAGAATGACAAGGTGCCATTTTAAAGAAATGTATCTAAAAACGAACTGCGAGTGATATTCTGAAAGGAAATTAAAAGCAAGACACAAAGAAAAAAGAAACATTCCCAGGAGTAAATTAAAGATCATGAAATTTCTCAGTTAAACTGCTGCGAAATAGTTTTCACCACTGTGTTCGGAAAAGACCTAAGGCTGCGTGAGTGCAAAGTTGGCATTTGAGCGAATTGCATTAAAACATTTGCAGGTGATAAAATAAACAAATGACAGCATAAATCAAGATTTTATAGTGAAACATTGTTTTAGTGATATTGGCCAGCTGCTTGAATTTAGAGCAATGACTTCTAAGAAATGTTTTATTACTCCTATTTAAAACCAGGGCTAGGGCAGAGTCATTATCAGTCTAAAACTGAATATTTATTGTGTGTGATGTTTTTAACTTGGTTATAGAGAAAAAAGGGAAAATCAGGTGTAATTCTTTTAAACAAAAAGAGATGAGGTACCAGATTGAGATAATGTTCATGAGTAGTTTCCTTTTTCACATACATTAAGGTAGAAAACAGCCATTGGCTTTGAGCACATGGTCATTTACATTTTTAAATAAGTACAATGTAACATCATTGAAATTTGCTTTAAGCATGACTATTGCCAATTACTGTAAGCTAGAATATTGCAAACTTAAATATAGCTTGAGACTTTGGCAATTGTCTTAAACTAGACACTTCTGCTTTCAACCTTGCCAAGTGGTTTAAGCTAGAAACACTGTCTAGTGCTGTTGACTTGAAACTTTGCCAATTGCTTAAAGCTAATAACATTGCCAGTTGCTTAAAGGTAATATCTTTACCAGTTGCTTAAAGCTTATAACTTTACCAGTGGCTAAAATATAGAAACTTTGCCTAGTGCCATAGGCTTGAAACTTTGCCATAAACATTGCCAATTGCTTAAAAAAAGCTTATGGCTTTGCCAAATGCTTAAAGCTAATAACTTTGCCAGTTGCTTAAAGCTTAAAACTTTGCTAATTACTTAAAGCTTGCAACCTTACCAATTGCTTAAAGCTAGAAACTTTGCTAATTGCTCAAATCTATAAACTTTGCCAATTTGACAACTTGTTTCCAGAAACAATACAATTTACATCATGATATCTATTTCTAGTGAGCTGGCATCAACCTTGAAGATGTTTGACATCAGTGCATCTGAAGACATGGACATGGTGGCACAGATAAAGAAAGAAGTGAAGAAGTTGTGCACACGGAATATTATAGCCTCACAAATAACACTCAATGAAATGGACCAAGATAAGCGAGAAAACCTTGCCAGGATGATTTACGAATCAGAGAAAGATATGAAGGTAAATTTGCTTGTCAGTTATAATCTGGACAAGAGGTCATTCTAACTGAGATGTATTTTTCTAGTCTTCGGTTTGTCAACTTTAATTTCTTTAAAAGTCTTTCTCTGTAACTTTCTTTCCACTTCCTTGCTGTGGGTTCAGATCTGTAGCTTTAGATTATATCATCTGATGATGATATGCCCCTTTTCTTCTTGTCAAGCAGGCTGTCTTGTTACCAAAGTAAACTTTCAAACTAATTCTTTTCATGCTATCTATACGTTTCTGTCTTGTTTGTTTGTTTGTTGTTGTTTTTTATTTTTCTTTCTTTTAAAAAAAATTCTATGTACTACTTTATTCTCTCTATCTTATCTAATACTCTATTTTTCTAATCTTCTTTTTCTATATATTTGTACTGTCTTTCTATCTAGTGGAAGGAAAGCAAGAAGAAGAAAAAGAAGCACACCAGATTTACCCTAAAATCAATTTCTCGACATCACCTCCATCTAACTTCCAGTCTGAACAAGATTTATTACGAGCGGAGAAAACGTGTAGTCCCTTTTGTACTGTTTGTTTGTTCCAAGGTACAAAAAAAATGTGAAACACATTTTATTGGTCCTTGTTTTTATTGGTCCTTGTTTTACGCATTTTATGCATATAAATTTTACTTCATTACTTTTGTCAATAAGGTATATTAATGTGTTTTCTGACTTTGTTCATGCCATTTTAGGTTGACTTTTCCAAGATTAGAAAGTGCTAATGTACTCACCTCAGCGAGGGTGTCATCACACTTTGGTTACGTTTTTGCATGTAAGCTGGTATCTCCAAAACTACTGAAGTAAATGGGATAAAACTTCACACACTTGTTCTCTGTTATTATCTTATATGATGGGCAGAGATTCCATAACTTTGAGTTACTTTTTTTACTGAGTTATGTCCATTTTCTTCCTGTCAAGCACGCTGTCTTGTAACCTCAATGATTCAATGGATAATTTAGACTATTCAGTTTGGAGTCATTTGCTATCCTATTTATCTGAATGTAGGCATGCAATACCAGTCTTCACAACTTATTAATGTATTCATTTTAGATTTCTTTTCTGTCATATTTGTAGTCTACTGACCAAGACCTGTAACTTCAGCATTGATTTGGTTTGGCTGAATTATTTCCCTTTGTGAATTTTGAAAGTTTCTGTATTGTCAAGGCTCTTGTTTTAGTATTAAGCATAATTAAGATTTGAAATGACTGACATATCAAACACATATAAGTACCTTATCCTGTTAGCCACAACTTATTACACCTATACAACCAGTGCACATCTTAGGTCAGCCGGCACATCTGTGCTGCATAATTATGGTCCACCTTGTTCCCTTAAAAAGATGAATGGCTTCATCTAGATTTAATGATGGACAAGTCCATTTAAGATATTTAGTGTGGTATGAGTTGATGTAGTTTCATTATTCACATTTTATTTTAGTGAACTATAACAGTTTTATTTTATCCGACTATAACAGGATCATGAGAAGCCTCAGGAGCCAATGATGGAGAGGTTACGGAGCATGAGTCAGGCCAGTAGCCACAAGATGAAGCTTGAGTCTGTCCCAGCTTCACCGGAACCCATCCTTAGAGATACAGCCTTTACTCCAACAGCTGATCAGGTTGGTTTATCTTTACTAGTATTTTCTTTTAGCCATTAAAGAAAAAGTTACAGCTCTTTGTCAACAGTGTAAAGCCAGATCTGTTGGTAGGTTAATTCTTGTATTCTGATATGGACATTCCTTAAAGGAACTCAACTGAGGTCCAAAACCCTAAAAACTTTAAATTTGAAAATTTTAGAAATATTAGATGAAATATTCAAAGGAAAACAAAGAAATTTACTCAGAATTAAATTGAAAATCATTTTTTGTCTGATTCTTAGCCAAATTTGAGTTGTTGTTTTTTTGTTGTTTTTTTGAATATTTAAAATGATTAATGTGGGAAAACAAGGCAAGGAATGACCTGAAAATGTGTACATAAGTTATTGGTTCATCAACTGATACACAAGTCTTGGAAAAATATTTCCAGTCTCATTATGTCTAAAAAACCTCACTGGAGTTCCTTTAAATGTTTAAAGGACTGCACGAAATGCAAAGCAAAGAAGTTGACATATACATGTTTAGCAATTGTTGTTTGTTTTTCTTTCCGTTGTTTTTTAGTGTAAATTCACATTATAACCCAGCTACTGATAATAATGAAGATTTTAGATTAGAAAATATGGCTATGCTTGTTTAAAAATAGTCAATTTGGTTACATTTTAATGATTTTATACGTAATAAGGTTTTAATAATCATTTTTATTATTTTACGTTTTTTAATATTCTGCTTTTTCTTATAAGTATAAATAAATAAGTATAAATAACAAAAACAATTCTTCCATTTGGTTTTTGAAGATATAATGATGTGGGAAGTTTGAGAGATTCTCATTATAGATGCATTACCAAATGCCATAAGAGGATTACTTCCAGAAATACTTTAAATGCATTAAAGTAATTTATATTCCCAAGTATAGACTACATTTCCCTTTGTTAGATTTCTTTGATATATTACAATGTATTTATATGTCTCGTGGGAACGACATAATAAGTTGTGTTACCTATGTAATTATATAATATAATGTATTTATATGTATATGTCTCACGGGGACGACATGATAAGTTATATTGCCTATGTAATTGGATAATTTCAGGAACTGGAAGCTATTTTGGCGAAGGAAGATCTTACGAGTGGTAAAACCTCGCCTACAGATACTGAGACGCCAGGCACGAAATCTCGTGCAACATCGGCAAGCACGAGGTTAGGCGATGAAGATGAGGATGAGGAGGAGGAGGAGGAGGAGAAAAAAGAAACTGACGATGAGGGTTTGGTAAGTTAATAATACTGTTATCTTATATGGTATAGATTTAATAATCATAAGTAAACCATAGCAATAATATATTAAAATATGTACAAAATAATCAATTTTTTCAACAAAAACATAATTTTTGGCCATTCAAAAAAAGTACAACAACAAAAACCCACTATTTTTGGCATAAATTTCATTAAAAAATTTCTATATTTATTGTCAACTTGCACTAATCCTTTGCCTATCAAAAGTAGTTACAGCTTTTAATTTTCCTGATCAGTACAAGAGCATAGTGAAACATATGATATAGTCAATGTGAAAAGTTGGCCAATAGGCAATACAAAGAATCGAGGAGCTTATTGTAAATCACTTCACTAAGATTTTTTTTGCACCTATGACTATGCTCCCTAAGACCTTCTTTCCCCCTAAGAAATAAGTAAGAACTAAAATTATTGATAGCACTATGAATAAATAATCTTGCAAAATATGATGATAAGCTATGCTGATGTTCTCAAAAGTCTAAAAATTGAAATTTTTAGATCAATTGATGCACTTAGAATGGGAAAATATGCAAAAGAAATATACCCAAATTTAAATCTACTTTTTGTATTATTCTTAGTCAGATTTGAGTTTAAGGTGAAAATTATTGGTCCAGACCATAACTTCAGATGGTACACAAATTTTCAAAAAAAATATTTCCAGTCCCTTCATGCATACATGTGAACTCTCCCACTTTTAGCTGGAGACTCCCACTTTCGGCAGCCATATTTTCAAAGATTTTTTTTTTTTCAAATAAGGGGTATTTTTACAAATTGAAGAAATCTCCCTCTTTTTGATGTCAGAACTTCTTTTTTGTTTATTGCCAGTTCTAAAATCTCTCTTTGAAGAAAAATCTCCCACTTATATTAAGTTTAACTAGTCAGAGATGTAGATAGATTTATGATAATTGATTTTCTTTAATTTTAAAAGGATGATGAAAAGAGGGGAAAATCTAGTGAGGAGGACAGATTACCATCAACCTCCAGTCTGAGGTCAAGGTCAGCAGGGATAAGGTCAGAGGTCGAGGGAGAAATTGTTAAAGCAACTCAAGATTTTGATAGACCAACAAGTACTGTGAAGTTTGCAGAAACTCTCGAGGTTGCTGACATTCCATCAAGATCAATGTCCTCCTTAGGACCATCTAGAATGTCACTTATGGACGAACATGGAAAACCGTCGCGGACGAGCATGACAACCGGAACAACAGGGACTGAAGGAATGGTGTTTGGACGTGATGCCGTTGTTGAGAGGGAAAAGATTAATGAAGAAGCAAGAAATACATTTGCTGTAATGGATATGCGATACAAAGATATGGTTCAGGATTTGATAGATCTTGATAATGCATTTGAACTAGGTTTGTTAGAAGGTGACAGACAAGACTTTGAAAAGAAAATACAAAGTATGAGAATCATAAAAACGCCACCTACAAAGAATGGAGACAAAGAGAAAGTAGAACTTGCAGTGAAGAAAAGTTCAAGTGGTGTATCAGTAACTGAAAAGCCTAGCAAAGATGCAGCACAGAGTAGTGAAGTCAGTGTAAGCAATGTACCTGATGTTAACAGTGAAGTTATAGAAGGAAATAAAGAGGTACCTGAAGTTAAGAGTGAAGTTATAGCAGGAAATAAAGTGGAAGAGACAAAGAAGGACAAAGAAAATGAGGAAGAAATGGATAAACAAGAACTACCTGATAACAAAGCCTCTTCAGAAACAAATGTGGTAAAATCTGATGTAGAAATTGTGGTAACTGAGGCTAAAGACAATAGTGATCGGTCCGATTCTTAAGTCTTGTTTTTTTTGCATTTTTTTGTTAATTCTTTTACTTTGCTATAATTGGTTTTATATTGATAAATGACCTTTTTATAATATAAATTTTAAATTTGTATGACTATTTCTGAATATGATTTAGTCTAAGGTGATTTAAGTATTGTAATATATTATTATTTGAAATAAATAATAACAAAACGAAAATCTGAAAGAAAAATTTAAGTTTCAACATATTTATCTTAGTTTGATTAAGATAAAAGCTTGAAGGTTATTTTAACAACTCCGAAGTCCACTCCATGAAACTAACCAGTACTGGTGTCATTTGAAGAAACAGAAGGGCTTGGACCTTTGATCTCTGGTTTGAGAGGCACACACCTTAAGCACTATGCCGGCACTCCCCATGTAATAACATTTATTGAATATATATGTTTTAGGGTTTCCTTTGAATAATTAACTCTAAATGTGTACACTGAATAAAATATAAAAATATATACTAATAATATATATTGTAAATTGCTCACTGACCCTTTTCAGAAATTTCTTTCTATTTTTGTGTTCATATGTCAGTTGTATATGGAACACTCGTTTTGTTGTCATGAAAATTAAGATGAAAGGAATAAGTTGAAGGGTTTTACTTGAACTATTGAACCAGTCACTGTGGTGTTTGTTATAGACTGGGTTACTGCCAAATGTCAAACTTTTGATGTATTTAACACTCTCCATGGGTTTATTGTGATGGGACTAACAGACAATGTTTTTATAAGAAGGTGATAATCAGTATTGGTGTTTTGACATTTTTTGTGGCATTGTGTTTGTTGTTAAGATAAAAATTTCAGATGTTTTGTCAGATGTTTGATGTGTGTAAGTAATAAATATAATGTATTTCTCATGGAATCATGGAATTTGGCAAGACATATATCTACCAGGACCTCAGGTGTCATGATTTGGGTAGTCTGTTTGGTTAACATGAATGATTTGATTCTCTTTTGATAGAATGATTTTTTAATGTTTTTAGGAATGACTTCATAAATGGATTTATGAATGATTTTGTGAATTATTGTATGAATATCCAACCACCAAATTGAAGTGATGAATAATTTTATTCATTGTTCATTAACAATTTTATGAATGATTTTGTTAATGTTCCCTTCCCCTCAGTGGTTTAATAAATGATTTTATGAATTATTCAGTAACAATTTCATGAATGATTTATGAAAGATTTCACAAATGATTTTTTAAAAATGTTTTCAGGAATGATTTTATTTGTTTAAGTTATTAAAATTTATGTGCACATTAAGTCTGTTTCAGTTTTTTGTGCAAATATTTTATTGCCATGCACATGATAATGATTTTTTTAAGTATTATAATGCTACAGCATTTTCTGTGATATATTTAAACATGTTAAAAATGTTTGTTTTGTTTAAAGATTGTTTCTGGTATTGACTGTAAATCTTGTAAAAAAGTCTGAGCCTTCAGTTTTATACCTTGTTTCAGCAGTATTGATTGACTTAAAGTGGCATGCCTCCAGATGAGTGAAATTAATTTTCAATAAATTTAAAGTTAAAAGAACTCCACTGAGGTCTGAGAGCCTTAACATATAAAATTTGAATTTCTCAGATCAGCTTGGGCACTTAAAATAGAAAGATATGCAAATTAAAGGTAAATAAGAAATAATTACTCAGAAACAAATTGAAAATGATACTCTTAGCCAGATTTTTAGTGAAAAGCATTGCAACAGTTTGGGTCACTTTTCTGTACAAAATCTGCTGTGGTCATAGCAGTATCGTAAAATGGCTGCCATTTACAGTATCAAGTGATTATCCCAAGCACCACCGCGACTTTGCGCGGGAATTTTAATTATAGCTAACCTCAGCGCGTCGCATAGGATGGAAAATACCTTTTTCATATTTTATTGTAATAAATATTTACAAACTGTGTCTTTCGTTTTTTTTATCAATATATAACCAATAATGATGTTAATATGAATAAATAATAATATATCAAAACTGTGACTATGATTTACAATGAAATTCTACCTTAAGTGTATTAAAAAGGTTTTTTAATTTCCTGTAATTTTATTTTGTGCTTCAAAGCAGTCAATTGACCGTGAATTTTCTTTTCATATTTTGATTTTCTTGAAATCATTTTTCTCATCTGAAGGCATGCAACTTTAATATGATGATACATTAATTACATTCCATGAAAATGTTTAAAGATATAAAATATCTCATGACATGTTTGTTCATTTTACATGACACCTTTAATTCAGCAAACATAATGTCTTCACAAAAAGTAGTATGCAATCGTACCTATATTACATACAAATGTATGTAATATTTTTCTTGTTATAAGTAAAATAATTATTCTGGAAAAAGGAGTTAGTGAATGATCTGAAAGTATCCAAACAAGTTATTGGTTAAGACCTACATCAAATGGAACAATTTATCTTAAAAAATTATTTTCAGACCCATGTTAAAAAAAAAAAACACGAGTGGAGTCCCTTTAAAGATAAAATATTTTATTTAAAAAAAAGTGTATAAGTAGTTACAATCCAGGTGAAACCTGGAATATATTTACCCATGTATCCTACACAATTTATTATTTTAACCCACAAGGGTCTACACTGATAGAAACAGAGTAATAGGAAATTATACATATGATAATAATGATAATAATAATAATGATAATATTAATGATAATAATAACAATAATAATATGTTGATGATTTCTGTTAATATAATGTATGTAAGGCTATATGCGCACTTGTAACAGCAAGTTGCAAATTTGTTGTTAAAAAAGCATTTGTTGTTATGATTTTCCTTTTTTTAAGTTTCCATAAAAACCCCAACACAAATGTGGTGGTGTGCTGCTTTAGAAAGTTATGTTGTGTTGAACATAATAGCATTACAGATTTATATGACATATATGTTTTATGATATTATATGTTAAATTACTATTTACATGAATAAATTATGTAGAATATTATAAAGGTGAAAATAATTTTGTGTGTGTTTTTTTTTCTTGTAGCAAGGGGGATGGGGTAGGGGGGATTTAATCTTTTCCTTATGTGAAAAGGGCTACTTAAGGCTGGAGTTGAATGATTTTTATGATTGATCATTTATTTAATTGTGGAACTTTCGACTGATGCACAGGAGAGTAGTGTTGATCCAGATCAAATGGTATCCGTGCACTGTAAAGTGCTCTTAAATTTTCCCTAAAACAATGAATGGTTTTGTCCCGTTACTGCACTAAGGTAACGAGATATTCATCACTTTGTCATTAAATTTCCTGTGTAATTATTCACATTGTGACGTGTACACTGTATTATCTTTTATTTTGTCGTTTGAAAACGAACATAATTATAATAATAAGGCTATCAATAGCATTTTTTTTCGTGCCTCCATAGTCGCAGACATGAAGTAAGAATAATGTAGTGCATAAAATTAAGTACACATGAAAACAAAAATAAGAGTTATGAGCATCGGAATTCATAGAATTCATGCAGGAAACCTGAATTCATACAAATAAAAACAAAGGAATACATAAAATTTTCGTTTCATGTGGGGTATCAATTTGTTTTTTAACTTCGGTTTTGTTTTAGATTTGATCTTTTTTTTAAAACTTGATTTATGTCTGTATTTGAAGCACGGACATGAATAACAATTGTAATTAAAGTCTGTGATTGAAGGAATGAAATGTTATTAATTTTGATTAATTTTATGTCTTTGATTTTCCTATTCTTTTCAGTCCATCCCGACCACTGCTTCGTTGAAATCTAAGTCGGTGTAAATATATTCTCCCGGACCAATCATGACACCGCTGTAGTCCGAACATATGCTAATTTCCATATTTTATTCCACCTATTAACATATTGCGTAAACATGTATTGTAATAATCCAGATAAAAATAGACTGACTACATTTTAAATGGCCGTGTTACCTTTAAAGATGGGACAGGGCGTCCGTGGCTGAGTGGTTAAGGTCGTTGACTTCTAACCACTTGCCACTCACCGCCGTGGTTCGAATCCCGACAGGGACAATGGATTCTTTTATGTCAGGAAGCTATCAAGCTAGCTTAGGAAACGTCGGTGGTTCTACTCAGGTGCCCGTTCATGCCTGAAGTCTTTCTCCACTAGTAAACCTGAACGTCGCCATATGTGACGTAAAATCCAATCAAACAAGCAAGCCTCTAAAGATAAAATGCAACTGTTATAATCACAGAATAATAAATTAATAAGGATAAGTTAATTTATTATAAAATTAAGAACCGCGGTACCGGCGAGGACTGGAGAAAATCAAGCGCCGCGGTACTGGCGAGTACTGGGAAAATACCAAGAACAGCGGCACCGGGGAGAATCATCTATACTTACTCACTGAAGGTGAATTACCGGTTAGCACTCTTCTGTTGACCACTTACAATAAGATAAGATAAGAAGTGGGTAAGCCCATTTGTTCGGAAAAAGAAAGATATATATAATCTCAATGGTCCTTCAATTAGGTTCACATAATTAACAAGCAAAGTTATGAATGACTAGAGACAAAGAAATAATTCTTGAACAACAATAAGTCAAAATTTGTTAATTGTTATAAAAAAGATTTCGACATTTTTGACATTAATTTTAAACGATAGGAGAAAACTATTTTATCCAACTATCACACCATAGATATTTAGTTTTGACAAGCCAATAATTTATCTACGACTTTGTATCAATTAAAAAAAACCCTTAAAACTTTTCATGACCAAAGGAGTGACACAGACATTGACCTTTGATCTTGCTGGATCCCAAAATAATTAGCTTTTAGCACTGCTGGTCTAAGAGCTGAGGACCAATTTATCAAAAACTTTGTCCAAATCTGAAACTCAGTACCCTAGAGCAAGTGTGTAGTCTTTGCTTTAACAAAAATCCAAACCTTACAAAATTTTGCTTTAACAGCGCTTCAAAATCCAAGATGGATCCAATATGGCCGCCGATTTTATGCAAAATTGATCTATTTATTTATACTGTGCAGTCTGACCAGACGCTTACTTATATATATTTGTAAAAATAAACCATGAAAGTTTCATCCTCACATGTACGCATGTGAGCACGCACGTACACACGCAAAAAATATCTTGACGAATAATCATTTAATGTTTTGATATCATTTTTAACAGTGTAAGTATACAGGATTTCACCTGCTTCTCTTTCATGAGCAGCTACTTTTTACCGCATCAAATGTATTTTTTTTCTTACCGTGGCATTAAAGGCAATTGCTATAATATAGCCGTTACTCGAAATCTCATTACTTTTCACAATATCTGTAACAAGGCAAGCATGCAATGGAACTAATAGTTAAAGCTAATTGCATTTTCTGTCATTTCATTTCCGAGTCACTGATGAGATATATTATCATCAATGAATATAATTATGTAAATAACTGTAATTTAGTGACGACAGTAAGTGATAGTGGTCAACGCTGTACTAAGGGTGGTGGTTGAGTGGTGAAGGATTTGAGTGGTGAATGATGTGAGTGTTGAAGGTGATAAGTTCTGAGGGTGATAAGTGTTGAGGGTGATTATTGTTGAGGGTGGCGAGTGTTGAAGGTGATGCGTTCTAAGGGTGATAAGTGTTGAGGGTGATTATTGTTGAGGATGGCGAGTGTTGAAGGTGATGCGTTCTAAGGGTGATAAGAAGTGTTGAGGGTGATTATTGTCGAGGGTGGCGAGTGCTGAAGGTGATGAGTTCTAAGGGTGAAAAGTGTTGAGGGTGATGATTGTTGAGGGTGGCGAGTGTTAAAGGTGATGCGTTCTAAGGGTGAAAAGTGTTGAGGGTGATTATTGTTGAGGGTGGCGAGTGTTGAATGTGATGCGTTCTATGGGTGATAAGTGTTGAGGGTGGCGAGTGTTTAATAATAATAATAATAATAATTAAAGAAATAAAAACATATAGAGAGCAAAACAACTGTATATATTAGCGGTTTATTAATGTATACATGTAGTTAAGATACGTCCTCAATGACAAAAACAATTCAGTTTATTAATCTAATAATGAAACACGTCCTAAATATCAATAACCATTCACTTTATAATCTCATGTTAAAAATTTTTTAAATGACAAAATCATATGTTGAATACATGTACGTCCAAAATAACAAAAACAATACAGTTGATTTTTTAATTCATGTTAAAATACGCCCTGAATGACAAAAACAAACAAACAAAAACAACAGCAACAACAACAAACAAAACAAAAACAATTCAATCAAATATAAATCTCATGTTCAAATACGTCTAGATTCTGTTTATAAATTTCATGATCTAATACGTCCTTAATTACAAAAAAAGTAAAACCAACAAACAATTTAGTTTATAAATCTGGTTGAAAAAAAGAAGGAAAAAAAAAGAAGCAAAAGCAGTTTATAAGTCTCATTTACAAGTACGTCATGAATGACAAAAGCAATTCAGTTTAAAAGTATAAATCTCATGTTCAAGTATGTCTTGAAAGACAATAGCGATTCAGTTTATAAAAATAATGTTGAAATACGTCATAAATGGAATTAGAACTATCACTAAATGTGATTAATACCCCTGCAAGACTGCTTCGGAAATGTGGAAGTTACTAGTAACAGAATACCTTGTAAGAGAATTGAACTAGAGTTATGGTTGTGGCCAATTAAAGATAGTTGTGGTTCTTGTACGTTGCAATTCCTTTCACTGTGCTTGACCATTGATGAAGTTTTATTGAATTAGTCTGTAATAAGTCCAGAAAGACTTCTTTAGCACTGCACTTCATTTCACTGAGGTTGACCATTGTATGAAGTTTCATTGAATTCCGACCATTAATTTTCAAGTTATGCACTGGACAATAAAAAGTAACAAAGGGAAAAAAGTCTTAAATGAGTCAAGAAAGTGTTTGGTTTCTGTGCACTGCGCTTTCTCTCAATATATTTGACCATTCTTTGTAATTATATTAAATTCCAACCTGTAGTATGAAGTTGCCTTGAATTCAAACCATTAATTTTCAAGTTATGCTCTGGACAAGAAAAAGTATCAAAGGGCAATAACTCTGTGATAAGTCAAGATGGAATAATGGTTCTTGTGAACTGCATTTTCTCTCAATGTGCTTGACCTTTATATGAAGTGGTATTGAATTCCAACTAGTTGTTTTCAAGTTATGCTTTAAACAAGAATAAAGGAATGGAAAAGTAACAAAGGGCATTAACTCTAACTCTAGATAGAGTTATGGTTCTTGTGCACTGTACTTCCTCTCAATGTACTTGACCATTGTATGAAGTTGTTTTGAATTCCAACTAGTACTTATCAGTTTATGGTCCGGACAAGGAAAAGTAACAAAGAGCAATAACTCTGTAATTACTTTAGATAGAGTTATAGGTCTTGTGCCCTGCACTGCCCCTTATTGTGCTTGATCATTGAATGAAGTTATATTGAATTCCAAGTAGTAGTTTTCAAGTTATGCTCCGGATAAGGAAAAGTAACAAAGGACAACAACTCTGTAATTAGTCAAGATGGAGTTATGGTTCTTATGCGCTGCACTTCCTCTCAAAGTGCTTAACCATTGTATGAAGTTGTATTGAATTCCAACCAGTAGTTTTCAAGTTATGCTCAGGACAAGGAATATGCAACGGACCGCTGGACCAACCGACCACCGGGTGACTCCTATATACCCCACCCCCAAACTTCGTTTCGGGGATATAAAAAGTAAAATGCTGTTTGTAACAATTAAAACTGGGTTTTAAAAGAAACGAATTTCCATTTCTTTATTTCCATTGTTTCAGTCCTAATTCCTATTTTACTCCGGAACAAAGACCACGGACAATAAAACCAATACACCTGACCACAATATCTTCGTTTTGGTTAAAATAGTTAATGGAAAGCAACACAACTAGAATCTCTTTGATGAAGACACATTGACGGTCTAAATACAAGGATTTTACTTTTTATGAATAACAAAATAATCATGAAATATAAAAAAATAATGATGTTTAAAATACTATGCAAAACGATAATATCTAAAATATAAAAATCACCATGATATACTGTATTTAAAAAAATTGAAGTCAATAAAATTATTGAATCTGAATATATTCTTTTATTACCCCTCCAGATTTTTTCCGCTTTTTTGATTGGATATTGATCACCCGAAAGAAATTGATATAACCGAGACAGACGGGTAATATACACACTAAATTTCCCCGTTGGGTACCCAACGTTCTAAACAACATGCGCTGAAGTGATGCGCGTACGGTTCGATTTTACGCGGTGTAAATTCCGATTTACAAGCACTTTTTAACTGTCAAATGATAAATATTTACCAACGTAGAGTAATGATACATATTACCATCAGTATCGAAAACAAATATGACCTTGTGAAAGCTTGATATTAATTACAAAAAAGTGCGTTCAATAGACTACCCCTTTTCTCTTGTTTACATTCGTTAGGTACGGGGAAAAATACGTCATGTATTTATGTGACGTCATGTTGTGACGAAGAGGTACCCTTAAGGGAATCTTATTTCGACGTTTCATTTGAAACAGCAATGATTTTTTTAAAAATCGTCTAAACTCGGCAGGGGAAGGGTAATAAAATTATTATTTTGGTTTTGGAGTGATATAGTATGTGGATATATTACCTGCCAAGATAAAATATCACCCTCGCCTAACGGCTCGTGTGATATAAAATCTTAGCAGGTTATATATCCACATATATCACTCCAAAACCAAAATAACATATAATACTTTTACGAAACGTCACTTTAAAGTGACATCATCATATTATGCTATTTTTTTTTTTCATTGTCATGTTGTGCTGAATTGACTACATATTTAAAAAAGATTGACTATAATAATGGTGATTGACCAACTCTTGTTAGATAAGATTTAAATCTGTCTAAAATATAATAACTCTTGTTATAAATTGAAAGCGACAGGTTAATTACAATTAATGTTTACAGAAATTTCCTTTGGCCTCGTGGAATTATGGCAAAATGTGAACTTATTTTAATTTTACCTGTTCAATGCCTATATTACATTGAAAGGGCATAATGTCACTTGTCTATGGCAAGAATAGTCGTCGAATATATGTAAATATCTTACAGTCGATGTTTAAATTATACAATTTATTCTGTTAAAAGCTATATGCTTATTTAAACACTCTCGAACCAACCAGTGCTAAGCAATGTGTGTAGTTTCTTGCTCACGGAAACAACAGCTTGCTACTGACTATTATATGTAAGTCAAAATACTACTTGTTTACAATTTACTACTTTATGGATTAATAGTTCTACATTCTATAAAAGACCGGTTTCATGAATTCCCGATTTCAACTTCACGAATTCACAATTTCAACTTCACGAATTCACAATTTCAACTTCACGAATTCACAATTTTAGCTTCATGAATTCATGATTTTAACTTCACGAATTCACGATTTCAACTTCACGATTTTACTACATGGACTCCCGATTTTAACTTCACGAATTCCCGATTTCAACTTCACGAATTCACGATTTCAACTACATTGATTCACGATTTCAACTTGACGGGAATTCACAATTTCAACAGGAAATCACGAAGTTCAAATTGTGAATTCATGAAGCTGAAATCGGGAATTCATGAAGTTGAAATGGCCCTACCGGTCTTTCGTAACATTCAGCAGTTCATTCTTCAAGTGAAAAGCATCGAACATTACTCTAAAATCAACATTTATACGTTGTAAAATTGATATTTTCCCTTTTTAAGGAAGGAAGAAAAAAAAACGCATTTTATTTCTGAAGCATGATGTGCCTATATACACGGCAAATATATCTGCTTTATTAATAAACACAGTAAAATCGATTCCGTAAATCATATATTACAGTGGGAAATGTAACTAAGTCATTATGTACAAGAAAAATATTGTAAAAGTTCATCATAAAACAACACGTTTACATTCGTTAAATATGTTACTGTTCTAAACAATTAATATATTTATCAAATTCCTGTCCTGTTTTTTTAATCTTCACCTTTACAAATAGCTCCGTGTCACCGAACACAAATGTTATATCAAATTTCTTGTCTTCGAACGTTTTTCCCTCTGGATGTTCTATAGTCAGTGCACCAAGTTTTGTACACCCTTCATCTGTTACATATTCCGGATCACGTTTTGTTGATTTATATATAGCTATATATGTTTTCTGTAGATTAGTTGAAGTAAAGTCATCTTCGAGTATTTCTTTGCCTAATTCTATATTATCGTCTTTGCGAACAAAAATATCAAATATATTGTCAACCATTTCTCTGTTATTTCTTATTATTTTTTTTGAAACAGGATGTTTACCCTTATCAAAGTTATTCATAACATTAATGCCATATGTAGCGGTCATGATTCTGTACCTAATTATATCTGGAATATGACCAAATCGTACGGCTCCTTTTAGGACAGCTAAACTCGCCTCATGCGGCCTTATGATTGTGTGGGTGTTTTCAAAGTTTGTTTTCATCGCTTCATACACTATGTCACTTTCACCAAACCCTCCAACTAACAGAATAGTTTTAACATTTTTCATATTTGACTCAGCAAGAATGTCTTTTACATGTGATATTATCATTCGTACTGGCGATTCAAACCATTTTCTTATTATAGAAGCGTCCACGCTAAGTTTGTCAGGATAAAGTTTCAGTTTATGTTCAAGTCCGAGAGCAGCAATCTTTTCCTCGATTGGCATGTCCTCGTTCCGTTTATAAAATTCTAAAAGTCTATATAGGCCTACATTAAACGTTATTTTACGACTGACGTCTGGTCGCATGAGTCTTTTCTTTGACTCGAAATCTCGAAGTAAATTGAAGTAAGCGTCCATTCCCTCTTCTTTAAATGTTTCCATGGTAAACTTGCCAAATAATTTAGTAAGCCATTGCAAGAAGTTGTCGTCAACTTGAGTTCCACCAAACGATCCTCCACTAGGCTTGTGTATCTCTTTTAATGAACCATCAATTTGCTTTTCATGTACAGATATATCTCCAGTGCCACCTAAAATAAAGAAAAGCGGAATCCCTATAGAACGTCTAGAACGGTTTGATTGAGGTAGTGTAATTGTAAGCTACCTGCCATGCCCCCTTGCACCGACTTAAGCATTAGTCAACATTTAAAAAATGAAAATGGTTGATTTTTAATATAGAAATATCCCCATACAGTTGTTATCAGGAAACCTACAATGGGACATGTTCATGTCATTCCATGTAAAGGGGCATTTGGTATGCAAATAAAAGAATGCATGTGTCCGAGAAAAAAAATGAGCGGAATTAAACAAAATAGAATTGAGGACACTGAGTGACAGTTGGTTTAGTACTGAATTTATTGAAAAAGCAGAATGGAATTATATTGTGCAAGCCTACAGGAACGAATCATACGCGAGTATATATAATATAGAGGATATTGAATGAGTGTAGGTTTAATACTAAATTTATTGAACAAGTTGAATAAAAACATATTATGCGAGCCTCTGGCGAGCATAATATTGTTTTTCAACGAGTTCAATAAATTAAGTATTGAATCTATACGAATATAATATTCTATTTATCACATATATAAAATAAGTACGCGCCTCTAGTGTAACGCTAACATTAGCGCGCTTAACGCTATGTTTATATATAGCGCAAATGACGTCACGTCAAAGTGTTATTACACTTGCTTATTTTATGCTTTTCTGTGGATTACTGATTTATCCGTGAAAATTATCAAAATATAATGTCACACTTTTCAATGACGAAACTACTTTTTCAAGATTTTCCCCATGTGGTGCCTCAATTTTATTTTTGCTGACAATTCTGACAATGTCAGGCTGTTTCAAAAAAAGCAAAGCTGAAATAGATAAATAACTTAAATGTCAAAAGTAATAAAAAGAAGAAAACTTACTTTTATTAATTCAAATAACCAATCACCAAATATCGTCTCTAAATTTTTTGTTTCATTTTTACAGTCTGAAAAATACATTCCTTTCACATGCAAAACTGCTCTTGATGACATCTGGGCAAATTTAAGTATCCCACGAGCAATAACAGCCGTATGCTTTATGAAAACTTGAAAAGCAATGACAGCCATCAGCCTGAAGAATAAGTAAACAACCCCGCGTTCGTAAGACTTCCAAGTTTTCCAATTTCCTAGCCGGTTTTATTATGTTTACACATCTGTCAACACTTATTTATTGTCTTTTACAATCCTCAAATAAGTTTTCTTTCCTTTAAAAAGGTGTATGACTAACAAATCCAAATGATATCCCTCTGAATCAAACACAAATATTTTCCTCCAGTGAAATACACAACTTCTAAAAATGGTGGCCGCTTACATTTAACAAAGCCAGGTCTAATATAAATTCGCAGTAAGTAACAGAAATATGGATGGATGGGTGGACTTTTTTTTCCTACTAGAATTGTTTGTTTTTATTATTAAAACAAGCGATCATTCATATTTTTTTAATAAAATGAATAATATCACCGCCATTTAACTTTGATTGTCGAACTTATTTTTAAGCCCAAGACTTCTTGTATTTAATGAGAAATTCAACTTTTTTGAGGCTCTCAAAGCGGAAACAGATTTTAATATTATTGTTAATATTAAGGAAATTTCGTTTTAACTTGTTTGTAAGCATAAAATAAAAAGAAAATTTGTTTGTTTGTTGTGTAATATGTAATTTTATTCCATCTCGTGAACTTTAAAAACAGTATTCTCACTCGTGGCTACGCGACTCGTGAGAATTCTGTTTTTAAAGCCCACTCGATGAAATAAAATTTCATCTTACAGACAAACAAACAAAATCCTCTATGTAATATCGTTTTTATTAAATGACTTTACAACACTCCTGCGATAAATGTTATTTATTACATACGCCAAATAAAAACATGCGTTAACGCC